GAATGCACAGGAGTCTGGGTAGCGGTCCGCTCAGACGAAGCTAGCTGGGGACACTCCCTCAGAAAATGAACATTGGATCCACACTGATAGCAAATACCCATCTTCTTACGACACTCCCCTCCATGTCGATTACCACAATAATCACAAAGGGGCTCATGTGGCAATCCTGAAAAACCACCACGACTAACCGCTGGAGGTGAAGATGCAGCAGGTCTAAAACGTGTATTACTCCTTTGAGAGGCTGAAGTACGAGTTCTCTTCCCCGATTGTGCAGATTATTCAGTAGGGCTCGAAAATTTCTTAGATCGCTCCCGATCAACCCGCTCTTTACCAGAAGCTAAATCCTCCATCTCCTCAGCATCCTTGGCTCTACCCACCAGCACATCAAAAATCTCATCTTGGTGGGTAACAACCTGCCTACGTAGCTCGTATCTGAGTCCGAGGGCAAACTTACGGCATTGATCTCTCTCTGTAGGCACCAGACTGATTCCATACTTAAGCAATTTCAAGAACTCTATCTCATACTCTAAAACAGTAATGTCACCCTGAACCAGGTCCTGAAACTGCTGTTATCTTTGGACTAAATAACGTTTTCCCAGGAAACGGTTCCTAAACCGCTCCTTAAAGAAATCCCATGTCAAACGATCGGTCGGAACACTACTGACCACTGATTCCCACCATGTGTGGGCATTGCCATCTAACATCGATATTGCCCCCAAATATCTCTTAGTTGGGTCCAAACCCAACTGATCCATACGTCTCTCAGTATCCTGGAGCCAATCTTCAGCTTCAGTAGGAACTCCACCTATCTGTCCACCAAAAGTTCTGACACCATTGGCGATCAGAGTCTGAGAAATAGGCACCTCAGATCCAACACCAGCAGCTCTGACCACTCCTTGAATCAACTGTAGAAAATGTCTACCAAAATTCTCATCAAATGCAACTCTGGTAGAATCAGACTCATTATCGGTTGCTCCTATGATCGGTGTAGTCATGCCAATACCCGCGACAGGAGGTAAATTTGTCAGAGTCGTAGGAGCAGGATCACTTGTTGGAGATGGAGGATCTACTCGAATCTCATCGATCGGGTCAGTAAATCTAGCCACTCGACCTCGTCCACGGCTAGTTCGACGTCCACGTCTAGCACTCATTTTGGTAGATCTCGAGTTTACTACAGAAGATAAAACTTAGGGTTAGATAAGCACTTGGAGTCTTAAGCACAATTAAAATCGTAAAAACTTTGAGACATGGCCTTAGCAATTTGTTTTATAAACTATTTCAAAACCGTATTTTCAATTTGGACTCATACATAGTCCGAAGTTTAAAAACCAAAAGCTCTGATATCAATTAAATGTAACCCCCTAGACCCGACCTATGCGTTTCGAATAAGTCTAGTGGATCACATTCAAGATTTTTAAAGACATTTTTCCCCGAAACTCTTATTCAATCAATTATAGAAGCACATTATAAATACATTTATAAAAGGATATATTATATTACGATAAAACCTAACTCATGAATATAAAACTGAACAGTTAAAAATTTAATTTTTAAAACATGTCTAAAAAAATCCCAATTACGATAAACCAAACATAAATAGCAAAAGAGTAAACATTATAAAATCAAATACTTTAAAATAAGGCCAATGTTATCAAAATAAAGTCAACTCGAAAGATAAAACATTACAATAAGATATACTTCAAGAGATATATTGATCCTCCAAGTGCTCGATCAGGGGTATCTAACCAACAATATGTGAAAGGGGAAAACATTTTCGAAAAGTGAGCTAGGCTCAGTGTGTCCCATTATTTTAGTAAAACATCATGCGAAAAACCATTAATTATAATCATGTCAAGTATCATGGAAATTCTGTTAAAGTATAAAATATTAAATCATATAATATACCCTCCTCCAGTGCACCATATACAGTTCTCATAACTGTGTCCATGGGGGAACCTTATACCCATTAGTATAAGCGGCCAACCTAAAGGAACATCTTGGGGCCCGAAAGCCTACCTAAATGTTGCCTTAGGTCCATAAGGATTTACCAGCTTGATCAGAGCTGTACCTCCATACTCCAGCCTACCCAAATAATATCCCTATAACAAATCTCAAATAACAAGTAAAGATTTCCATGATCCCTATCCGATAAAATAATATCGTCCATTGAAACCAATTATTCAAATATCATATATAAAGTTCCATCATAATTCATGAACCATCATCCATTGAATCATAAATTCCAGTGAAATATATATATTTTTATGTAGATATATATATTTACCAAACCAGTTAAAACCATCAAATAGTACATAGGGAACACACCTCGATAATGAGATCAAGTTGTAGATCTATTGAGTATTGACCTCGCCACGCTCTGTTACAGTTTTCGAACCTAATTCATAATAACACTATATTACTAATGGGTAACATAATTAATTTCTTAAATCATAAAAAATTTACGGGTCATACGGGTAAACACTAGCACACGTGGTTTAACTGATCTAGAGGAGCTGGGTCGAGCTGTCGAACGGTCAGAAGAGTCTCTTGTACCTTCAAACATTAATAATTTATCAGTCTCAAATCTTATTCAATCATTCAAAGCTAAAACTCTAAGTACATAAGTATTTTTCGGTTTTGACTATCAATTTGGAGGCTTTCGAGTTTGAATTTGACCAAACCGATTGCGAAATCGGAATCATGACGTCGAAAAACATAAAGTATGACTTTTCAAAAATTCAAATTCTTGGTCAAAATCAAAGTCAACGGTTTTGACTGATGATTTGGAGGTATTCGGGTTCGAATTTGGCAAAACGGACTTCGGAAACGGATTCGGAACGTAAAAAAATGTCAGAATAGGTATATTCGAACAAAATCAAAGGTCGTTTAATGGCCGTTTAAAGCCGGTCAAAGTTTTGGTCAAATGTTCTCAATAGTCCACAATCAACTATTATGAAAATGGCACTTTTTTTTAAATAATTACCAAAATATCACCTTTTTCAAAATAATTACCAAAATATCATTTTTTTCAAAATAATTATCAAAATATCACTGGGTCGGGTCAACCCGGTTCAGACTGGTCAGACCGATTTAGATCGGTCAAGCCGATTCAGACCGGTTTAGACCGGTCAAGCCGGTCAAACATTATATACCCTATTTCGAATCTTCCCCACGCGTAGGGGCGGCGCGTGCAGCCTCTTCCGATCTCCAAAAATTCCTGAAAAAAATTCTAAAAATTCTTTTAAGCGATTTTGAGTCACTTACCAACCTCCGTTCAAATTTTTAAACGGTGGAGAGCTCGATTTCAACTCGATCGGAACTTTGACCGCTTCACCTCCTTCACGTGTCGCTGCCTACGGAGACAAGGAGGACACCGTCGGACTCGGAACGACACAAAGAACACGATGGTGCGGGAGGTGTCGAAAACCGATTAACGATCGGAGATGAATTTAAGATTTTCTCAGCGGTGGTGCTAATAAAATGTCGAGACTTTGACTCGAAATTCACGTCGTTTGGCAGTGTTTCACTATAATTGATTTAATGGGTTTTGTTCACGGGTCGAAAATGAACACGGTGGTAGTTTTAATTTGACGATCGGATGTCGAACGGCGTCGGAATCTGACTTAAAAGTTGAGGTACGAGAGGAGTGAAAGTTTAAGAAAAGCGTTTGTGTTTTCTGATTTCAATCAGAAAACATGTTTAGTTTATAACCATACATGCCGACATTTTTTTGGAGGAATTCAGGATTTTGTCCCTGAATTTCCTTCAACTTATCAAATGACTTATAAATTTTTAAAATTATAATTTAGCCACTAAATTTCCCCCAATTACTAATTAACTAATTTTTTTTTCTTCACATTTTCTGGGTTGTTACAAGATTCCAACCCCTAACAGTATCCTTTCTATTTATCGGGTTCGACCTTGTGCTCCAGTCACTTAGTCTTCTACTTCCTTCCAGCACTGTACCTGATTCTTCAAATGGGTTGTGGAAAGCTATCGCATTTCTGCTAAGCCATAAGTTCCATGGTATTGATCCAAATAAAATATCCCAGTCTTGGCTGTTTCTTGCTTTGAGAGGATCCAGGGTGAGCAACTCATTGGGCTTGTCTGGATTACGTTAATACAATATTAAAATATTTTCTAAAATTCAAATTAAATTTTAAAAATACAATTTATTATTATATTAATTTTACTCATTTATTATTATTGTTTTACGATAATAAGATAACTTAATATTATTTTTACTCAAATAAATATTTTAAAATTTGGAAGATTTAATAAAAAAAGGTAAGATATACAAATGTTCTCTCTCAACTATAAAGTCTTACTTTATCAAGTCTCAATATTATTAAAAATTGTAAAATGATCATCTGATTTTATAACGTTGTTTTATTGTGTCATCGACTATTGAAAGTAATAAAATAATCATAAGACTATTCATATTTGGTAATTGTTTGTGTTGGACGTTAACCTATTAACTGAGGTATGATAAAATCTGATCCAAGAATCATTTGAATTGTATTTTATGGATCGACTCTCTATTTACATTATATCATCAAGCCAATGTTTTAAGCATTACGTCATCAAGTTAATGTTTGGAAGTAACGACGGTGTCAATATACATATTGAATTATGATTTTATCACATCTCAATCAGCATGTTAAGATCCATCTCAAATGTCAATTAATTTTTTAATAAAAGATGATGAATTTTAAACATATAAATAGTCAGGTAATCAATTTGAAACTTTTAATAGTAAGGACTAAAAAATAACATTTTATTAATGGGGATAATTTTATAATTTTTAATATTTAGGAACTCAATAAAATAATATTATAGAATAGAGGACTATTCTAAGAAAAAAATCTGCATAGTTTGGTTCAATTGTTAAAGAGTGGATTCTTTTTAGCAGGGTATCGGCTTCAATGCTCCCAAAAGTCTCTTTTTTACCTCTGTTACATTCTACGAGGCGTTCTGCTTTTCTCAACTTCTCTTACGAACATTCCCTTCTTTTTTCCTTTTCTCTTCTTAATTCTCTGTTCCATATCTTCAAGTTTAGATTTTTTCATTTAATTAATATAGTTTTTTTCCTTTCTGGATTTTACTTGTTTTAAATTTTCTTAAAGGGTTTTCTTTTGAGCTGAAAATTAAGTAGATCGGAGAGTGATAAGTGGTTAGCCTTCGGTTTGCGGATGCATGAGGTATGTTTGATTCTTACTGCCTATTTGATTCCTGAAAAAACATCGGGGAAAGAAAATTTTGTTTTCTTTTTTGTCTGTTAGCTGATATTATCTTCTCCCTTTTCTCTGTTGAGTTTAGAAAAAGGAAATTTGTAGATGAACTGAACAACTCGAGTAGTCTCATTTCACTGTAAATATATATATATATATATTTCTCTACGAAATTTGAGTATAAAGCCTCTATAATTGGTCTCTTTGGAAAAGATAAATTGCAGTTCATAATCCTCCCTTTTAATGTTAAATCCTGGATGACACTTGGTAAACTTGATTTTCATCTTTTTTCATGAAAATGAAATTACTTCTTTTTCCTTTTCTTTTAACTTTTTAAGTTTCATTGGAAGTGTTTGAATGGATCTGTGCTTGAAATGGTGTTTTAAATTAGACTTATTTGTTGCTTCTTGTTTTTGTCGCAGTCATTTTTTTCGCATGAAAATGCAGAAGGAATTACGATGCATATAAAAATGATCACACTCAAAATCGTTAATTTCGTTGTTTTAAATTCCATATTTGGTTTAATTAATAGAAGTACTAATGTTTGTTTGCTTTGGTGTATCAGCAGTTGTGGGGAATTCTTGGATACATGAATGCAAGTTAGGAATTGTATTACAAGCTAAGGTTATAAAACATGAAAACTGAAGGGAAACCACATTTGATAAAGAAGCTTGCTGATGTAAAATGTCAAAGGGTAAGAAACTTCTTTTTAATCTTTTTCAATTAATCCATCCTTTGTTTCTCTGTTTTGCGTGTCACTTGCCATTGATACTTAGTTACTTCTACGGTTTCTGGCTGCACTTTCACGTCTTTTTCTTCTGTTATTCTTCATAAATAAGGGTGTAAATTTGATAAATACTATATTGCTCCCCACCCTCCTTCCCCTGCTTTTGATCTTTGGATATAGGTGGATGGGTCCGTTGTTCCTGGCTTGGAAGAAGCAGCTCAAGTTGAGCATTTACTTGCAGAACCTAATAGTGAGCATTCAGTAGATGGAGTGTTATGTTTTGGGAAGGAAAACTTAGAGAAACACCTGAAAATGGAAGACTTCTTCTCTTGCGCTCTTGATTACAGCTGGAAAATTAATTGTGGTAATACTTTTCAAGAACTTCTCACTGTTCTTTTTGCCAATTCCCTCATTTCAAAATTAAAAAGAAAAAAATGATCTTTGAAGTGCTTTTAATTTTATCAATGTTAAGATTTCAGAAGCATCTAGAATCTTTGATAAGTACCCTATGATGGATCTGTCTCATCCTCTTCAGTGCACAGCCATTTGCAGGGAGGAAATTCATAACGAGGAGCAAAGACCATGTATTTTAATGTGTGAACTTGCTATTGCTAGCATGCTCTTGTAGAATTATTGTGCTTAACTTTGTGCTGTACTTTGATGCAGAACCAACATCAATGGTGCTTTAAACTGGTTAAAGAATTGTTTCTGGTGATATAGGCTTATACCTTATAATTGTTGGTTTGAACTGATATAATCTTGCTTAGTATCTTCTATCTTTGTTTCTTTTCCTCATTAGTTAGTTTACATAACTCTAAAGCTATCATAGTCGTTAATGTCGTAAAATTTATGACTTGTGCTCTGGATGGCAGGGTGGTATTGACCTATTCTAATATTTGATTTAATTAACGAATAGTCATAATCATTTCAAGACATGAAAATTATGGCTCACAAAGGGATGCAGGGACAGACATTGAGTAATTTCTAAGATTTGATGCTCATATATTGTTATCAAATATTGCAAAAGGACAAGACAATATACAATGGTATAAACTAGACATTAACTTTACAATCTCTTTGTTGACACATGAAAACCTTTGTTCAGAATTTTATTCGCAATTTTGCTTGTTACTCTTCTGATGATATTATATTGTTTGTGATTCCTTATAAGGTGAGGTCTATGGTCAAGGAGGAGATGATTTGAAGCTTGAAGTATGTATTGTTTTCTTCTTGAGGCTTTCTCGTCACACCCAGGCCATTATTTTCTTTAAATTTTTCGTCTTATGAATTTTACGTTGTTTTTGCTTTTCCTTCATTACATTTTGTTTATACATTTTTGTTGAATATTTTATTTACTGCATGCGAGCATGCATAGGTGCTATGCTGATATCCGATGAAATGTTGCTTTAGTAGATTCTTGATGGATTGCTGGATGATGTTGATGAAGTGGACAATATTCAAGCAGCCGATGATCTCTCTGTTACATGTGAAGGTTTTCAGTTGGGTGAGTATTAATTATGTGCTTGTGCTAATTGTCTTCCTGGTGTGAAAGCACATGATTCTCATCTATAGTGATTCCTCTTCTTTCTCCTTCAAGTGCAGATATTGAATTTCCTGAAAAGTTTTCTGAATCAGATTGTGCTCCTCATGAAGGATCAAATTCGCATAACTTGGATTCACAAAGTCATGCCCCCGGGTTTAGTGGAAGTTGTAGCAGTGCTGGTGGCATATCAGAATCATCAGTTGCAACTCTTCAAGAATCCAACAGCCAGAATGGTGTGCTCAGGAAGATGGTCAGTCGTGATTTACATCATACCTTTAAGAGCAAATTTGGTTGTCAGGCACCAGTTATGGACACTGTTCGGCCTACTATAGAACATGTGCAAAGTTTTGATGAGTCTGACGATGATGAAAAGCCTTTAGTAAGTTTCATATTGTCTACTAAGAGTGTAAAATGCTCTGTAACAAAAGGTGGCACCCTTTTAAGACAGAAGCGACTGCGGAAGCCTACTAGCAGGTATATTGAAGAGTTTTCTAGAAATTCTACTTCTTCTTCAAAGAAGTGCCTTAAAGTCGGATCACAAGGAGACCTTCCTCAGGTGGCGTCTGAACTCAAGCGACAGAGAGGACATCTTAAGAAAATAGTGCCAAAATTGGTATGGGTAGTTCCATTGCTGCATCCTTATTTTTTATGCTTCTGTTCATCATTTTTTATTTATATTTAGATATTGGCCTTTAATGCCGTGTGGTGAACGTAACAACCAGAAAAACTCAAGTAATGAGGAAAAAGCACAGATATTAATAGATGCTTTATGCAAGATTGGTTATAATTCTCTATAAATACATAAAAAACCGTTAGGTCAAGGAAATGGTTATTTTACTATACTATGGGGAAAGTCTAAAAGAAGGCAACTTAATTTAAGGTTAAAAACTGACGGAAATGGGTGATATTGAAAATGTGACAAAAAAGTAGTACATTTTAGGTTGCAATCAAAAATGTTATGAAGAATGACACATTTTAGGTTGCATCCAACCTAAAATGTTCACATTTCCGGTCGCGTACATTTCCGTCGTTTTTTAGCCTTAAATTAGTAGGCTGTACCGCAGAAGTGCCCTTTACTCTGCTTTCTGGTAACACGTATGTGTTGACATCTTCGCAGGGGCTTTTTGCTGCTTTTTAGTTGAGGAATTATGGCATCTTATATGCACCAATATAGTGATACTGCTACTTACCCATGGAATATTTATTTGAACCATGTTTTTTATGTGAGATTTTCCTCTATGAAAATGATTGAACTGGAAAAACAGAAGATAAATGACTATCAAGGAGTTGATGTTTTTGTTTGTTCTTACACTACATTTTTCTTTAACTTGGAGTGAACCCTACAACTTCCTTAAGCGTGATAACTTCAAATTGTGAGGTTATTTTATCATTCTCTGTGCAGGAACTTGAATCTGATTCTGAACCCTTTGCATCTAAATCTGAAGATGAACAAAAGAGAACCAAGAGATCCAGAACGGTTTGTGATAGGAGGAAGCATCAAAGGATGTGGACCCTTGCGGAGGTGATTAAGTTGGTTGATGGGATTGCTCAGTATGGTGTTGGAAGATGGACTGATATAAAAAGGCTTCTATTTGCATCATCTGCTCATCGAACACCAGTTGATCTGAGGGTACCTCACTGCTATATCCAATCATATGGTTCCCCTATTGTTTTAAAAAAAATGAATTATTTTTAAATTTGGATCCCCTGTACAGGACAAATGGCGAAATCTTCTAAGGTCTAGCTCTGCACGTAAACGCAACAGGAGAGAGGTTTGCTTTCTACCATTATTTTCTTGGCTTAATTTGCTTCGACCTGGATAGGATGATAGTCTCCTCTTTAATTGTTTGCATCTTTAAATTATTCAATTTGTTTTGTACTGGTCCCTTGATTGCAAGGTCGCAGTTATCACTTCAAATAACTGAGTATGGAATTTGAATTCCAAATGCTTGGATTCCTATATTTTTATCACTGAGAGGGCTGAGAGTTTGCTGCCTGTAAACCCTCTTGATAAATATTAAACGATATCGGATGCACTGATGCAGGGTTGACCACCTAAATGTATACCAGTAGGACAAATAATTGCCTGTGATGATGTATTCTTATGCATGTCAATGTGTTTCATCATTAAGATTGGTTTATACTCTATCTTATGCTATTAATCATTATTTAAACTGTTAGTTGCAGGGTGAGACTAAGCCGAAGCATGCTGTACGTCACCTACCAATGCCTGTGGTATGCCGCATCCATGAACTGGCAACCATTCATCCATATCCAATGGCCCGCTGCCCTAAAAAACCATCTGATCATAATTATGTTCCTTTGTCCAAACAACCAAGAACAGCTAAAGTCGCTCCGGTTTACTCTCAGGGGAGAGATTTACGTAGGAAGAAGTGCAGTTAAGTAATTTGCTGTAAAGCAAAAACATGCAATCCAAGTATAGTTGTAAAGGTGTATTCTTCCTTGCATCGCCCTTAACACCTGCCATGATCAGCTCATATAAAAATGTACTTAGATCATTAGCAAATATCTGTTAAACGTTACACCAAGTGACTTAAGCTTATATTTAAATAATAGCATTATCATTTCATATTGTTTGCCTAGCTGTTAATAGCATTATACAAGTGTTGAACAAAGCACGCATATATGTATCTCAGATTTAACCCTCTGAATTCAAGTGTTAGAAAGAAAGCACAAGAAGCTATGAAAAAAGCTCTTTACCATATTGTTTCTGAGTGGGAAGGGAAAGGAAATAATGGGAAATGGGAGCAGCCATGGGAAGGTAGTTGAGCGAACAAAATAGATGTACGACAGCTAAGAGAAACAGAAAAATGCAATCAAATCATTGGGAGTTAGGGAACACAACGGTAAAGCTTTAGGGAGCCCCCAAAAGTCCAATCAATATCAACCGGTGCAGTGTTGTCCCCTAACATGCAAAATGAGAATAGAGATATAATTTTCTAAGAACTCCCTGAATATATAAAAATATTAAACGTATTATCTAATAAATATGAACTTTTATTTGATAGTCATGTCTTCAAACTTTATAAGTTCATCTCTCTCCTAAAAGAAGTGTCGAAATTTAAATATTAAAATCCATGAACCCTTATCTTCAAGCTATGACCTCTCCTCTGTACGTGTGTGAAAATTTATCCCATTACATGCATGCACAGACAGGGTGAGGTGTTGACTATGTGCACTACCATCCAGATACAAGATCTGAAAACTTATAACCGAAAAGTGAATAAAACCTACCTAAAACAACACACGCATAAAAAGCAAGAAAACTGATGCTTCCTTCTAGAGAAAATCTGCAGAAATCAATTAGTGTTTAGTGGGGGCTTACCTCATTTTACATCATTCCACCAAATGTGATTTCCAGCCAAGAAAACTCCAACTCCCAAACAAAAAAAATAATATTTCAATTACATTAAAAGGTCTTACTTTACATGAAGTTGACTGAAATGGGACGGATAAATAAATAAAAACCTTTATATTTACATTTACACTTACATATTATATATAGATATGTCAACAACAATTTAATTAGTGGGATCGCACTTTGCCCAAGAAGCTTATCCCATCCCTCTTACATATCGTTTCCACTTTCAAGTTTCAACTTGTGGGGTATTAAATGGATTTTCTGTGTGTCACTCTCTATGAATGTTCGTACACCGTCGTATTAAGACACAAATGTTAGTGCTATAAAGTTAAAAAGGGCACACCACTAGTACTTATACATTTACGCCTAACACGGGAAATATCATTATTAATATACTTACCAACATTTTGATAACTATGTTATTTCGATTCTTTATCTTTAATGCTAAAAAGATATGTTATTCTTAATGGAGGGTTCAGATTCAAACAGATACATCAGTAAGGTGTATACGCGTTATCAATTAACTATAAAAAATTATGAACAATACTACTCTATAATCATCTCAAATTATTCAAAAAAATATTTGTATTTTAATATTTACTTTGGTTCTAAATTAATTTTTAATTAATCTTATTGGTTCTTATCTTTAATTTTCTACTTTTTTTAAATTTTTTATTTAACTTTTATTTAAACTATTAAATTAATCTTGATTCAATCGATTGAAACGGTAGGCACAATCCAGATTTTAAATCTATGCCTAGAAGTCATGTCAACTGTTTAATGCTCTCTTCAAAAGCACTCTCTTTTTAAATTCCACAGCTATATAACCCTTTCTTTCAACTTCATCTGTTTCACCATCTAAGTTCTAACCCATATATGAATTATGATCTCTATTTAAGACACAAGCCACTTTCTCCCTCCTACTTTCCATCTACATTGGTATACTACTAATAATTCCATAGGAAGAACATGAAAGAGAAGTTTCTAGAGGCATACCTCACCGAATGGAGGAAGATGAGTAGTAGAGTCCCACATAGTGACAGTTGCAGGTTCTGTTATAAGTGGGCTAATTGGCCAAACTCCATGCACGAAGAGAGCAAGAGATGTGCCAAAGGGTCACTTGGTAATGTATGTTGGTAAAGACTATAAAAGGTTTGTGATTAAAATCACCTTGCTCAAGCACCCGCTTTTCAAGGCATTGCTGGATCGAGCCTGAGACGAGTATGGTTTCACCACCGATTCCAGACTCTGCATTCCTTTTGATGAAAGCCTCTTCCTCAATGTCATTCGTTGTGTTAACTCTCCACAGGTGCCTTTAGTATTCATGCTGGAACTTTGATTGGTTCACCACGTACCAGTCCTAATGAGAAGAGTACAATTTTGTAACATAAATATTCTGTAATCTATAAATGCAGTTTAATTGAAAAATATTAACCTCCGTTTTTACCTGTAAGTAAACTCACAGAATTGAAGTTGACAGCATCTGAAGGTTTCCAATCCTGGCCTCTATCTTCATTTCAAACTCGACCATAATAACTTCTAAGCTAATCAAAGTAAATAAATAGAATTACAGAATTATTGCCATTTTTGTTCAGTATCAAACAGAAATAAACACCCATTTCCCATCGTCCCGAGGTCAAATTTTGAGAGAAATACTAGTACTAAGTAGAATTTTAAATGCACCAAATCTATGTTGAAGAGTTAAAGACCTAGCTCAAGTAAAGGAACTCTCTTTTCTTGTCAACCAGAATAAAGAATCTTGTTCTAAAGTGAAATATCGAATGCAGCATATGGATATAAGAGTATGGCATTACAGTGGCTCAAAAAAAGAATTAATAGATATTATCTCAATCTGAGAATACTTAGTAAGAGTACTAAAAATAGATGCCAGTCACTGGAAATGCAAGTTAAATGTTCTCCTAAGAGTCTATCTCAGGGCAGTGTCCCTGACATTCACCTGAAATATTAAATCAGGCTAAAAACTAATGGGAAAAGCCAAAAAGGCACGCAATTAATCAAGATAGTTCAGACAGTCAAAAGTTTTCAAATTTCAGGAAATAATGATGCTAGAATTCAGACCATATTGGCAAGCAGAATGCTTGAAATAACAGCCAGTTACACGCTGTCAGAGTGCAATATGCCCATATGCAAAGATGACAGACAAGTTACAAGTCGGAAGACGAGGAAGTTATGATCCTCAATACTCAGCTCTGGGAACCATTGAATGCTGGGTCAACGTCGAGGTTTTTGAGCTTTGGACCTCAAAAGTAGGTCTGATTGACAGGGGAAAGTACGGTTTATCAATTTGTTTCCATTTGTAGTTTCTCACATCCTCTCAACAAGAAACTTGTGGTCTTCCACTTATGTGCAGCACCCTGCACATTTCATAGGCTTCACATAACGATTCAAACTGCCATAATCCGCAGTAGCCCTTGCATTTTCCAAGGTTCCAACTTCTTATTCAACCAACAACGAGTAATTCAATGTCCAATATGACACCGGAAAACAAAAATAAACAACTAAAAGGGAAACAAAGAAAGTAATCAAGTATTGAGCCACAATTCTGCTAGGGACAGTGATGGTATTGACATCATGATCGTACAGGAACCATACTTGAAATTATAGAATCTCCCAAATATTAGCCAAGAATTATACACCAATGGGAGTATTGTGTTCTTTGCCATTAGCATCAGATGTCTAAACTGTGTATAACAATGAGGTGAATACGTACTTAAACCCATTCTTCCTATAACAGTAAATCTACATCCACACTTGCTCAAGTGACCAAGATATATGGACAAAATTTATTGTTTTCCGCAAGAAGAAAAGGGAACTTGTCCAAAAAAAATTCAAAGACTACCAGTGGACTTGACAGAATAACAAAATGCCACTTACTAATATGCACTTGCATCTGATAATCATAAAAAATGACAGTGAACACTGTCAGAAAACTTGGTACGAGCATATGCATGGATAAGGCTTATATAAAATCATCCTCCATATGAGAAACAATATTCCAAAAGTCAAAAGCTTTAGATTACCAATTGCCAGTAACATGGCAAGGCCATATAAAATCCAAGACTATTACCTTTGAACTTGTCCAGCTACATTGCAAAACAGGCGCTTCATACATGCTTCCATCCAATAGCCGACCACATTGGAATAATGAAATCCATTTTGAGGATAATGCTAACTATTTAAGCCGGCCATCATCATTAAGTCTGTTAGATTTATTTCTCTAATGTAGATCCCTTAAAAATCCATTCACAAAGCGAAATTATTGAACTCCACCCCACTGCACAACTTAGCGACAAGTTGTCAATTACAAGCAACTTTCTGAAACCTTTTAAAAGAATCACCAACACAAACAGGAAACAGGTTAAAATTGTAAAAATTGCCTTAATCTAGCCAATGTTGGATGATTTTATCACTTGTTATCACAGCCGTTTGCCTAAAAACACCATCTAATATTTGCTAAAATTGCATGTCCCACCACAATAATCTACCCATTAGTATTACAGCATAAAATGCAAGATGTAACAGCATGCCTGCCGCTCTTTCTAGGACAAATAAAATAACTCATAGCCAAATCAAGCATATATGATATTTAGACAAGACCAGAGGTGTTCTTTTCATATATACTCTTATTTTCCTCTCCTCACCAACTGACTTAACATTTATCAGACGTTTCATAAACAACCTTTGTCAGTCTCCTGATTGTTTCGTTTACAAAGTTAAAAAACAACCCTATAAAATAGTAGCATGGTTACTAAGGTTATCCAGCATTCCAAAATCTATAGGGATTATATTTTCCTCATTCTAAAGAGGATAACATATTCCAGTCAGCATCTTACAGAAGTATATCCATTAAAAGTAGGGTAAACTCAAGAAAAAAACTTGTACGGCACAACTGGAGAAATACACATTCCCATGTACGCAAGAAGATAAGGGAAAAGACCACAACACAAAGATAATAAATACTCTAAATATAACAGCATCAGCACAATTTGGAGCATGAGAAGAAAAAAACATCATCGTTCTCATTGATACCAGGAAGGAACAAGTACTGCAAGGCAGTAAAAAACAATTGATTGCAACAGGATATACACAAAAGCAATTTTTGGGAAAATATACAGAAGTAATGTATTGCCTCGTGACAAAATAACAAGTACATACAACGAATTGGCAGGTTGTTACACCAAACAAAACAATGGCAGTATTGCATCACTACTACTGCAAAAAACAGGAAGATTCAACAAGTCTTAGATGCTTGCCAATATCTTTAATGTCACAATCGAAAATTCTACCAGCAAAAGTAACTTCAAACCATTTTTTTCCCACTTGAGTATCATCTAAGTCCATCGATCAAAACCTCCAACTCCCTCCTACCATACCTCCTACCCTCTGCATCAGCTTCCCTACACCTCGCCACAAAGTAGAATATCAACCAAGCAACCATGAAATACACCTCCAAAGTCGCCTGAACAGCAGTAGCAAAAACTTCCCCGCCTATAAAAGTCAAAACCCACGTAGCAAAAGAACCACCTAAGATAGCTTCGTAGAACTTGATCTGAATCGCTTGGCTCAACAGTGTTGACATCAAATAAAAACCTTCTCTAATAATTTCCCTCCCAGTTCTTCTCAAATCCAGAATGGCAATCCAAGCAGCTAATGAGAATACAAATGAAACTAAGGTATCCACCAAGAACCATGTAAACAAAAACCCTGAAATATCCTTATCGAAACCCCTAATCCAAGGAGAGATGCCCGAAAAAGGCATCAACTTTAGCCTAACAAAAAGCTTGAAAATCGAGTAGTGATAATCAATTTCTCCGAAATACCATAACCCAAGAAGCTGAGTCACCGCGTCCCTTACCGCCCATTTCATTAAAACGAAAAAGGCGTCCTTTTCAAACCCATTTTGACCCAACCCAAAAAGCACCAAAGAAAGAGTCAAATCTTCCAATCAAATCATTAACAATTGTAACAAAGAGAACACCCAAAACCAAAGAGTAAATCGTTGTAAACCCTAGAATTACCCATCCATACGAAAACGATAACAAGCTGACAAGAAAAAAGAGCGTCGCTGCATCTTGACGGCCCAATCTTGTATAAACGAACCGAACATCCTCACTCCTTTCCTCTTGTTGTTCCCCTTCATTCTTTTCATATTCGAACGACGTAGTCTTGAATTTGATTCCGTAACGAACAATTTCCGGCAACACAATCCCGTTATCCGTTACTAAACGCGAGAACCCCAATTGAGGGTCGAAGTTGGAAAGAATCAATGGCGTGCCATTGATAGGACGATTTGGGTAAGAACCGAAGAGGGAGCGGTCCGAGTGATCGTCGTCGGAAGAAAATAAGTCATCGTCGAGAGTACCGACACGGGTGAGGTGAAGGAAAGGACGGCGCGTGTGACGGTGAGCGGGGTGAAGACGCGCGTGCGGGTGGGAAAGGGGAAAATCGAGGCGGGAAAGAAGGGATTTGAGAGCGAGGTCATTGTCGATAAAGGAAGTGAGGAGGGAACCGGATTCGACTAACGAACGGAAAGAGAAGAGGAGAAAAGCGAGGGAAAGGAATGTGAAAGAGTGGGCGGTGATATGCACGGCGGTTTGTTTGAGGATCTGGGAAGTGGACCGGATTTGGTCGAACCGGGGGTGGTGATCGGTCATGGCAATTCCCGGTGGGTTCAGATATTATGGGAAGTGAAGCATGAGAGTTGGAATTGACGAGGGAATTCCTTTTTTCCTTATTTTCTGATTTTAAATATATATTTCTTTAGGGTTCGTTGGGAATTGAATTGGAAGTGAAGGGAGAGGAGTGAATTGGAAAACGTATGGGCTTTGAGCCCAATTTACCGTGCATTTAATTTATTAAAAAAAGTTGAACTGTTATCTAATAATAATAAGGGCAATTTTACTTAAAAGACACTCAAAAAATTAAATAACACCAATTTAGTATTGTTTATCGAATATGTAACAAACTAGCATCTTTTCTAATTGATAGAGGTAGAGGCGCGTTGTGTGAAACACACCTTTCTGAGGTGGAGGAAAGGTGTGTTGCAAGGGGTGCATTTTTCGTAGGTTTATGCTGATATAGCACCACGGTGAAAGGCACGTTCTGGGGGATGTGACGTTGAAGCAGCGTCATGGGATATGCGTTTTTTATCCAGGTTTTAAGATTTTTTTCACTGGTTTTTGTTTATGTTAGAAGGGTTTAAGGTTTTTAGATAGTGGTTTAAGGTTTTAGTTGTTTAAATGGTTTAGGGTTTTATTGTTTAAATGATTTATGGTTTAGTTTAAAAATAAAATCTTAATAACAAGAAAACCTAAATCGAAAATAATTAATCTTAAACATTAAATGAAAAACAATAAAAGAAAGTCACATCTTGTAAAAGAAAATAAAATAAAATGACATAAATTGAAAGTACAAGAAGATAAAATCACATAAATTGAAATATTAGAAAATACCATTACATAAGTAATGGTCAACGATTAAGTGATGATAAAAGAAATCAACATTTTTTTTATTGTTGTGACCTAGGTTCTACAATGTTCACATCTTTTGTTTTTTTATGTCTCTCGAATATTCATATCTCAATGAATTCGAGTAGATTTTGGACGACCTGACTCCCTTAATAACAACGAATCTGGTATAATTGTAAGTCAAGTCTGAATCTCATTTGGGTCTTTTTCATTACCTATGGAGAAAACTCAAATTCATATACCTTGAATACTTGTGAAAGTTGGTATACGAGATAAATATAACTTTTATAGTCCAAATGAGAATGTAAGCAAGCAACTATGACATGGGAGCATAGATACTTCAGAGCTTGAAAAACCCTACAATCACATTACATTTACTGTAGATTAACTCTAAAAGAGTTAGATTCAATCCCTTAAAGAGGTCGTGCCATTTCTATGACATGAAATAATTCACGGGTGCAAGAAAAATTTGTTACCTACGTTCCATTTGATGTTGTAACTTTTTTTTGTAGATCTACTACTAATATTGGGTGATAAACATGATCGTTTTGCATCCAAGTAAGATCTTGTTCCCCGAACTTGGTAAAAAGTCGACCCAAACAAAAATAAGTCGTTTAAATACATTTCTATAATAGCTTGTGATTTTAAGGAATTTTTTGTGGTTAACTCCTCAAGAGTGCTATTTCTCTTGAATGTTAAAGGGATATAATAATCTGATTCGAAAATAACTCCCTTTTCAGATTGTCGAATTTGTCTATCATAATAAACAACAATAAAATTACGACCCATTTTGAGAGTTTTAAAGTTTCAGAGAAAATAGAGTTTGATAGTTTGAGAGTATGAGTTGTTGAGTATTAAAATGAATATATAGACACGATGACATGACAGAGATTCTCTGAAAAAGAAAAATGCTTCTTATGGAACGAGCATTTCCATTTTGTCATATTTTTTGTACATACGTCAGTTAATTATATGCAAATATGATGTTCATAGTAGGGGCACTATTCACGTCAATCCCATTATGTTTGATGGGACGAGACACTATGACATGATAAAGATTCTTTAAAAAATGTAAAAGCGCTTCTTGTGAAATTAGTCTTTCCTTTATGTCAGATTTATATGCATACTTCAGTCAATTATATGTAGATATAACATGTCTCTTTCGGGAACTAATTATATCTATGAAGGATACACACTCTTCACCTAATGCATCTAATGATGAAGCAAAAAGAGATTATGCATTTTAGAAGCATCACCATCTTTACTATCTCCCGAATTATATCATTTCGTACATCGAAAGAATTCTAGAAACATATTGCTTGTGTGATAACATTTTTAAAAATTGCTTTTATTGTTTTTAGAATTGTGAAAGTAATATTGTAATAGATTTTTTCTTAGTATAACTAATTAAATTAAAGCTGAGATTGTAATACATTTAACCATAAACAATACATTAAATCCCAAACCATAAACATTACATTAAGGACATAAAACAATAAACCTAACATATTATGTTAAGGACATAAATATAATAAACCTTATACACACCTTAAAAAGTAATAAAATCATAAACATTCCACTATTCTTTATGATGTTTTAATCCTCGTAATTAGTAGACTTGTCAGAAGTAATATTCGTTTCTTCAATTGTCCATGTTTTTTCTTGTTGTCGTTACGTACAAATTGGTACCATGCTTCTGGGACTCTATCATCTACCTTTGTTTCTTCATCATTTTCTTAGTTGGTGGGATACTCGAGCTGGAAGCATCATCTTTAACCATACGAGCAAAGTCGAGACCAACGAATTCTACAAACAAATCGACATTAGATATAGAATGATAGTGTATGTCTCAATCATACCAACAAGATTGACATCATCGCTTAGATGAAACCTTGCGCATGCTACTGATATTTTATAATATAATGAAGATATTCTTCTATTACTTTCGAGTTTAACCTTTCTTTCTATTTTCAACTTCAACTCGTTGAGTTGAATGTATTTTTAAAAGACATGCTTAAAGATTCGCAATCATAATAAACAACTGTAAGAATAGTTGCTATTTTAGCAAAAAAAACTCAAGCTTTGGAAGTAAAAGACTCGATTATTTTTTGATTTTTTTACTTCAAGTGAGTAAAATATCTTTCTTGATTAGGGAGAGAAGGAGGGGTTTAGGCGATAATCATGTGCGGGAGTAATAGACGGGATGAAAGACGCGCACCATGCAACACACCTTCCCACGTGGCACGAAAATCCTGCAAAGGCGCGCCTCCTGGAATGTGCCTTCCCAAGTGGCTCCAATTCAGTTGAAAAGTGTCCCCTGCAACGCGCCTTATTTCCAACTCAACAAGGCGCGTTCATGCAACGAGCCTCCCCCTATTTTGTCAGAAAAGGTGTTAGTTTGGTACGTTTTCGATAAACGGAACCAAATCGGTGTTTGTTAATTTTTTGGATGATTTTTGGATAAAATTCCTATAATAAATTTAAAAATAAAAAAGATAATTAAAGGGACATTTTAATACATTAATGCAAAATAAATCTATTAATTGATCTTATTAATAAAAGAAAATATTTTTCTTTCTAAATAATCTAAATTCAAATATTTGTGTTTGTAAAAAATATATACATTATTATAATTAATTAATATTTTGAACATATCTTACTTAAAATCATTTTATATTATTAAAAATACACTAATACAAAATAGTAATAATAACATTTAAAAAAATATTTTTTAGTTTCCATTTAATTTTCTTCAATTTCATGCTTTAAAAAGTAAGATAAATTAAGAAAAGATAAATTTTTTATGGGGATATTTTCATTTAACAAAGACATTTTTAAGCACGAATCACAAATAAAGTGATCTCAATTATTAAGAGATATGTTGTTATCTTTTGAGGTGTTGGATTTGAATAATGTGTATATAAGGATATGATTATTCATTATTAAATAATTGAGATTATTTAAACAAATACTACCTTGTATTTATCTTAAATTTATATAAAAAAACATTTATAATTAAATGTATATTTTACAATTCAAAATCAATAAACTTAATCATGAGATTCTTAAATATTACATTGTTTAAATATGCATTTTTTTAAATGTTTAAATATAGAATTTTAAACATATATTTATTTCATCGTATTTAATGATGAAGACAAGATCTATATGCACACCCCTGTCATTTGGCTTCTACTCATATAATTATTTTTAAATAAAATTCATACAATTTGTAAAAATATTTTTTACCCATATTTTTTTTCTTATAGTTGGTGAAACATTGCATCCAATGGTTATTTAATGTGATAATAATACAAAACGGGTTGATTAATTCAAGATGTTGTCTAACCATTTTCGATAATGATAATTTGTGTTTGAATTTGGATGATTCAAGTTTAGTTTGATGACTCGATTTAAAAAACATAATCCGCAATCTTTTTTGTTTTGTTTTAATTAAGATGTGATCACTGAAATATTAAATTCTATTAGTTTGATGATGTGAAACGTTAATAAAAGAGTTTAATTTTTTTACTTTAACCCCTAAATTTTAGATAAAATACTAATTAGAGACCATTTTATAAATTCAAAATAATTCATGGACAAAGTTCTAATTTATCCAATTTTTATATGTTTTCTACCCAACACCATCTTTTTGCTCCGCACACCTCCCTCTTCTTTAAAATCGTGACCCTCACAAACCTAAACCCACGCCGATGGCCGCCATTTATCAGTGGAAACTACTTCAAACACCATTGTCAACGAATGAAGAAGTTCAAACCACTGTCAATCGGAGACGAAGAAGTCTAAATGCCTCTTTATTTTTTCTTTGATCTGGTTAATTGAAGTATAGGAAACATGTTTGGTTTTATGATTTTAGATGATTTCATTATGATATTGTCATTACAGACATGCATGGAGGATTGAAAATGAATGAACTTATTGAATTATTGGTAATAGATTCGTACATGTATGCAAACATTATCTCTTTCTCTCTCCCTCCCTCCCTCTTCTCCCTCCCTCTTCTCCCTCCCTCCCTCTGATAATCAATTTCTCCGAAATACCATAACCCAAGAAGCTGAGTCACCGCGTCCCTTACCGCCCATTTCATTAAAACGAAACCAGCGAGCCTTTTCAAACCCATTTTGACCCAACCCAAAAAGCACCAAAGAAAGAGTCAAATCTTCCAATCAAATCATTAACAATTGTAACAAAGAGAACACCCAAAACCAAAGAGTAAATCGTTGTAAACCCTAGAATTACCCATCCATACGAAAACGATAACAAGCTGACAAGAAAAAAGAGCGTCGCTGCATCTTGACGGCCCAATCCTGTATAAACGAACCGAACATCCTCACTCCTTTCCTCTTGTTGTTCCCCTTCATTCTTTTCATATTCGAACGACGTAGTCTTGAATTTGATTCCGTAACGAACAATTTCCGGCAACACAATCCCGTTATCCGTTACTAAACGCGAGAACCCCAATTGAGGGTCGAAGTTGGAAAGAATCAACGGCGTGCCATTGATAGGACGATTTGGGTAAGAACCGAAGAGGGAGCGGTCCGAGTGATCGTCGTCGGAAGAAAATAAGTCATCGTCGAGAGTACCGACACGGGTGAGGTGAAGGAAAGGACGACGCGTGTGACGGTGAGCGGGGTGAAGACGCGCGTGCGGGTGGGAAAGGGGAAAATCGAGGCGGGAAAGAAGGGATTTGAGAGCGAGGTCATTGTCGATAAAGAAAGTGAGGAGGGAACCGGATTCGACTAAGGAACGGAAAGAGAAGAGGAGAAAAGCGAGGGAAATGAATGTGAAAGAGTGGGCGGTGATATGCACGGCGGTTTGTTTGAGGATCTGGGAAGTGGACCGGATTTGGTCGAACCGGGGGTGGTGATCGGTCATGGCAATTCCCGGTGGGTTCAGATATTATGGGAAGTGAAGCATGGGAGTTGGAATTGACGAGGGAATTCCGTTTTTCCTTATTTTCTGATTTTAAATATATATTTCTTTAGGGTTTGTTGGGAATTGAATTGGAAGTGAAGGGAGAGGAGTGAATTGGAAAACGTATGGGCTTTGAGCCCAATTTACCCTGCATTTAATTTATTAAAAAAAGTTGAACTGTTATCTAATAATAATAAGGGCAATTTTACTTAAAAGACACTCAAAAAATTAAATAACACCAATTTAGTATTGTTTATCGAATATGTAACAAACTAGCATCTTTTCTGATTGATAGAGGTAGAGGCGCGTTGTGTGAAACACACCTTTCTGAGGTGGAGGAAAGGTGTGTTGCAAGGGGTGCATTTTTCGTAGGTTTATGCTGATATAGCACCACGGTGAAAGGCACGTTCTGGGGGATGTGACGTTGAAGCAGCGTCATGGGATATGCGTTTTTTATCCCGGTTTTAAGATTTTTTTCACTGGTTTTTGTTTATGTTAGAAGGGTTTAAGGTTTTTAGATAGTGGTTTAAGGTTTTAGTTGTTTAAATGGTTTAGGGTTTTATTGTTTAAATGATTTATGGTTTAGTTTAAAAATAAAATCTTAATAACAAGAAAGCCTAAATCAAAAATAATTAATCTTAAACATTAAATGAAAAACAATAAAAGAAAGTCACATATTGTAAAAGAAAAGAAAATAAAATGACATAAATTGAAAGTACAAGAAGATAAAATCACATAAATTGAAATATTAGAAAATACCATTACATAAGTAATGGTCAACGATTAAGTGATGATAAAAGAAATCAACATTTTTTTTATTGTTGTGACCTAGGTTCTACAATGTTCACATCTTTTGTTTTTTTATGTCTCTCGAATATTCATATCTCAATGAATTCGAGTAGATTTTGGACGACCTGACTCCCTTAATAACAACGAATCTGGTATAATTGTAAGTCAAGTCTGAATCTCATTTGGGTCTTTTTCATTACCTATGGAGAAAACTCAAATTCATATACATTGAATACTTGTGAAAGTTGGTATACGAGATAAATATAACTTTTATAGTCCAAATGAGAATGTAAGCAAGCAACTATGACATGGGAGCATAGATACTTTAGAGCTTGAAAAACCCTACAATCACATTACATTTACTGTAGATTAACTCTAAAAGAGTTAGATTCAATCCCTTAAAGAGGTCGTGCCATTTCTATGACATGAAATAATTCACGGGTGCAAGAAAAATTTGTTACCTACGTTCCATTTGATGTTGTAACTTTTTTTTGTAGATCTACTACTAATATTGGGTGATAAACATGATCGTTTTGCATCCAAGTAAGATCTTGTTCCCCGAACTTGGTAAAAAGTTGACCCAAACAAAAATAAGTCGTTTAAATACATTTCTATAATAGCTTGTGATTTTAAGGAATTTTTTGTGGTTAACTCCTCAAGAGTGCTATTTCTCTTGAATGTTAAAGGGATATAATAATCTGATTCGAAAATAACTCCCTTTTCAGATTGTCGAATTTGTCTATCATAATAAACAACAATAAAATTACGACCCATTTTGAGAGTTTTAAAGTTTCAGAGAAAATAGAGTTTGATAGTTTGAGAGTATGAGTTGTTGAGTATTAAAATGAATATATAGACACGATGACATGACAGAGATTCTTTGAAAAAGAAAAAATGCTTCTTATGGAACGAGCATTTCCATTTTGTCATATTTTTTGTACATACGTCAGTTAATTATATGCAAATATGATGTTCATAGTAGGGGCACTATTCACGTCAATCCCATTATGTTTGATGGGACGAGACACTATGACATGATAAAGATTCTTTAAAAAATGTAAAAGCGCTTCTTGTGAAATTAGTCTTTCCTTTATGTCAGATTTATATGCATACTTCAGTCAATTATATGTAGATATAACATGTCTCTTTCGGGAACTAATTATATCTATGAAGGATACACACTCTTCACCTAATGCATCTAATGATGAAGCAAAAAGAGATTATGCATTTTAGAAGCATCACCATCTTTACTATCTCTCGAATTATATCATTTCGTACATCGAAAGAATTCTAGAAACATATTGCTTGTGTGATAACATTTTTAAAAATTGCTTTTATTGTTTTTAGAATTGTGAAAGTAATATTGTAATAGATTTTTTTCTTGGTATAACTAATTAAATTAAAGCTGAGATTGTAATACATTTAACCATAAACAATACATTAAATCTCAAACCATAAACATTACATTAAGGACATAAAACAATAAACCTAACATATTATGTTAAGGACATAAATATAATAAACCTTATACACACCTTAAAAAGTAATAAAATCATAAACATTCCACTATTCTTTATGATGTTTTAATCCTCGTAATTAGTAGACTTGTCAGAAGTAATATTCGTTTCTTCAATTGTCCATGTTTTTTCTTGTTGTCGTTACGTACAAATTGGTACCATGCTTCCGGGACTCTATCATCTACCTTTGTTTCTTCATCATTTTCTTAGTTGGTGGGATACTCGAGCTGGAAGCATCATCTTTAACCATACGAGCAAAGTCGAGACCAATGAATTCTACAAACAAATCGACATTAGATATAGAATGATAGTGTATGTCTCAATCATACCAACAAGATTGACATCATCGCTTAGATGAAACCTTGCGCATGCTACTGATATTTTATAATATAATGAAGATATTCTTCTATTACTTTCGAGTTTAACCTTTCTTTCTATTTTCAACTTCAACTCGTTGAGTTGAATGTATTTTTAAAAGACATGCTTAAAGATTTGCAATCATAATAAACAACTGTAAGAATAGTTGCTATTTTAGCAAAAAAACTCAAGCTTTGGAAGTAAAAGACTCGATTATTTTTTTATTTTTTTACTTCAAGTGAGTAAAATATCTTTCTTGATTAGGGAGAGAAGGAGGGGTTTAGGCGATAATCATGTACGGGAGTAATAGACGGGATGAAAGACGCGCACCATGCAACACACCTTCCCACGTGGCACGAAAATCCTGCAAAGGCGCGCCTCCTGGAATGTGCCTTCCCAAGTGGCTCCAATTCAGTTGAAAAGTGTCCCCTGCAACGCGCCTTATTTCCAACTCAACAAGGCGCGTTCATGCAACGAGCCTCCCCCTATTTTGTCAGAAAAGGTGTTAGTTTGGTACGTTTTCGATAAACGGAACCAAATCGGTGTTTGTTAATTTTTTGGATGATTTTTGGATAAAATTTCCTATAATAAATTTAAAAATAAAAAAGATAATTAAAGGGACATTTTAATACATTAATGCAAAATAAATCTATTAATTGATCTTATTAATAAAAGAAAATATTTTTCTTTCTAAATAATCTAAATTCAAATATTTGTGTTTGTAAAAAATATATACATTATTATAATTAATTAATATTTTGAACATATCTTACTTAAAATCATTTTATATTATTAAAAATACACTAATACAAAATAGTAATAATAACATTTAAAAAAATATTTTTTAGTTTCCATTTAATTTTCTTCAATTTCATGCTTTAAAAAGTAAGATAAATTAAGAAAAGACTAAATTTTTTATGGGGATATTTTCATTTAACAAAGACATTTTTAAGCACGAATCACAAATAAAGTGATCTCAATTATTAAGAGATATGTTGTTATCTTTTGAGGTGTTGGATTTGAATAATGTGTATATAAGGATATGATTATTCATTATTAAATGATTGAGATTATTTAAACAAATACTACCTTGTATTTATCTTAAATTTATATAAAAAAACATTTATAATTAAATGTATATTTTACAATTCAAAATCAATAAACTTAATCCTGAGATTCTTAAATATTACATTGTTTAAATATGCATTTTTTTAAATGTTTAAATATAGAATTTTAAACATATATTTATTTCATCGTATTTAATGATGAAGACAAGATCTATATGCACACCCCTGTCATTTGGCTTCTACTCATATAATTATTTTTAAATAAAATTCATACAATTTGTAAAAATATTTTTTACCCATATTTTTTTTTCTTATAGTTGGTGAAACATTGCATCCAATGGTTATTTAATGTGATAATAACACAAAACGGGTTGATTAATTCAAGATGTTGTCTAACCATTTTCGATAATGATAATTTGTGTTTGAATTTGGATGATTCAAGTTTAGTTTGATGACTCGATTTAAAAAACATAATCCACAATCTTTTTTGTTTTGTTTTAATTAAGATGTGATCACTGAAATATTAAATTCTATTAGTTTGATGATGTGAAACGTTAATAAAAGAGTTTAATTTTTTTACTTTAACCCCTAAATTTTAGATAAAATACTAATTAGAGACCATTTTATAAATTCAAAATAATTCATGGACAAAGTTCTAATTTATCCAATTTTTATATGTTTTCTACCCAACACCATCTTTTTGCTCCGCACACCTCCCTCTTCTTTAAAATCGTGACCCTCACAAACCTAAACCCACGCCGATGGCCGCCATTTATCAGTGGAAACTACTTCAAACACCATTGTCAACGAATGAAGAAGTTCAAACCACTGTCAATCGGAGACGAAGAAGTCTAAATGCCTCTTTATTTTTTCTTTGATCTGGTTAATTGAAGTATAGGAAACATGTTTGGTTTTATGATTTTAGATGATTTCATTATGATATTGTCATTACAGACATGCATGGAGGATTGAAAATGAATGAACTTATTGAATTATTGGTAATAGATTCGTACATGTATGCAAACATTATCTCTTTCTCTCTCCCTCCCTCCCTCTTCTCCCTCCCTCTTCTCCCTCCCTCCCTCTGATAATTTGTGTTTGAATTTGGGTGATCGGAGACGAAGAAGTCTAAACGCCTCTTCATTTTTTCTTTGATCTGGTTAATTGAAGTGTAGGAAACATGTTTGGTTTTATGATTTTAGATGATTTCATTATGATATTGTCATTACAGACATGGAGTATTGAAAATGAATGAACTTATTGAATGATTGGTAATAGATTCATACATGTATGCAAAAGTTCTCCTTCCCTCATCTCTCTCTCTCACCGTAATTTGTGTTTGAATTTGGGTGATTCAAGTTTAGTAAAATTAAAAAGGGTAAACTACATAATTGTTCACATTTGTTTCAATTTTATAAATGTATGGTCACTCGATCCAAGAAACATAATTCGTAGTCATTGTTGTTTTGTTTTAATTAAGATGTGGTCACTGAAACATTGATTTTTGAATTTTAGATAAAATACTAATTAGGGATCATTTTATAAATTCAAAACAACTCAGGGACCGTTCTAATTTACCATTTTTTTTATATGTTTTCTTCTCCAACCCCATCTTCTTACTCCGCAAACCTCCATCTTTTCTAAAGTCGTGACTCTCTCATACCTAAACCCACGTCGCCAATCACCATTCATCAGTGGTTACTACTTCAAATGCCTCTTTATTTTTTTCTTTGATTTGGTTAATTGAAGTGTACGAAACATGTTTGATTTTATGGTTTTAGATGATTTCATTATGATATTGTCATTACAAACATGTATGCAGGATTGAAAATGAATGAACTTATTGAATGATTGTTAATAGATCCATACATGTATGCAAAAGCTCTTTGTTTCTTCCATTGATGAAGCTATTTTGTTTGCAGTGCTTTAACTACACGAGGATGCTTGCTGTCGAAGACACGTACGATAAAATGGAAGCTCTTTTGAACCAAAACATCCACCCAGTAGACATCTTATTAATGTTGGCTGCATCGAAAGGCGACAAGCCGAAAATCGAAGAGCTATTGAGAGCTGGAGCTAAGTATGATGTCAAGGATGCAGATGAATGTACTGCCCTTGATAGGGCTGTCGATGAATAAATAAAACAGTTGATCCTTGGTTTTTCTGCGCAAAGGGGACTGAACCTAGTTTGAAGATTGTTGGTTAAATGAAAAATTAGTGTTTTTGGGGAAGAAAACATATAAAAAAAAGGGTAAACTAAAATTTTATCCCTAAATTTCTTTGAATTTATAAAATAGTCCGTAATTAGTATTTTATCAAAAGTTCAGAGGTAGTAAAAATTAAACCCTTTCACGTCATCAAACATTTCAGTAACCACATCTTAATTAAAACAAAACAAAAGTGACTACAAATTATGTTTTTTGAATCAAGTGACCATACATTTATAAAACTAAAACAAAAGTGACTAACTCTATAATTTACCCAATTAATAATTAAAATTTATATTTTATAAAATCTTAATTCTAAACTCTAAATTAATTGAATCATGAATCATAAAATATAAAAAATTAAACTTGTAAAATAATCCCCAATAGTACAATTAATTGAGTGTATTTTTTTACTCTGTTATATATCCAATTAATAAATAAGTGCCTTTTAAAAAAATATAAATTATAATATTACTCATTTGTCTTAAAAAAACAACCTAACTTAAAAACAAAATATATATTTGAAGTGTACCTTTATTTTGTATTCACGGTGTGACATGGCCATAAGCAGCATATACGAAAATTAGTAAGAAACGATTGAACATAAGTCAAGCTTAATTACCGCCAAATAATTATATGCTTAATATATAAAAAGTGAATAAATTATATGTGTCATTAAATTTTAATACCTAAAATAATTTTCGTTAAAAATTGATATTTAACGTCTTTTTCGTTATATTTTTAAGTATTTGAATTGTAATTGTCATTAAATTTATTTATTATTTGACACGGGTTAGTCCTATAAAATTTCAAAAAAAATATTTAAAAAAATACTTAACAATTATTATTTTTATAAAAAATCCAAAAAAATTAAATTATAAAAAATAAAAAATCTAAAAAAACTTAATTTTAATCATTTCGCTATCAGCGACCACCACAACAGTCGTCAATCAATTAAAATCTCGACAACATCTAACTGTTGAAACACCCAGCAATTAAACCCCATAATTCAAGCGAGAAGTGCATTAAAAAAAAGATGATTGCAACACCATGATTCCTTTCCTCGTTGATGATTTCGATGATTCTTTATTCATTTGTCGTTGGAGTTCCTAATGAGAAGGAAATATGAAGGGAGAGAAAGTAGAGAAGACGAGAGAAGGAACGCGAGGGAAAGAGATAAGGGAAGAGAGGTCACGACGAAAGTTTCTAAATTTCTTTTAAAATAATATTTTTACTTTTTTAAAAAATAAAAATTTCAGAATAAAAATAATATTATTAGATACTTATTTTTAATATATTTTTTTAAAACAAAAGGCAATTTTAAATATAATAGGCAATCACTTTTTAATAATATTTTTTAAAACAAAAGGCAATTTTAAATATAATAGGCAATCACTTTTATATGAACTATGAAGTCTAACTTATTGAGTACTTGCACACGTGGCAGCATTTAAGACTACAACAAAAAATATATTTTTCCTCCTATAAAAAAACAACACCCCCGTGTTTTCGTACATTGTCTGTGCGATTTTCAAAAAGAAAAAAAAAATACAGTGTCTGTGCGTCTGCCATTGTCAAGATCTCTACAGTTTATATAAACCCTCAATTATTTTCACACAAGGCAGCAAATCAAACATAAGAAATTTCCTCTATTTTCTGTCGGAAATCATTTCGCACTTCTTTTTAGTGTGAGAATTTCCTGTGTTAATGCTCGAAAAGCCATACCAATCGCCGTAAGTTCCTTTCGAATTTTTCTAACTTCGTTTTTTTTTAAATCTGCGTTTTCTGTTGTGGCATTAGCATTTATTTAGCTTTTAAACCATCTAGGATCCGGTTTAAGTGATAAATAGAACGTCTCGGTTTTAGTTTTTCAGTGAACATTTAAAAGAAGAACAATGCATGCATTCCATATTTAAAAAAATACAGCTTTCTAAGTTGAAATAAAGCATTTTAGGTTGATTTGGTTAAGAGTGGTATTAATTTTATAGTTGAGTGTTATGGAGGAGTTTGGAAAAGAACTTGGAAAGAGAAATCAGATAGCCTTGAAGAAGAACTTTCTCTTTTACTTTCTGTTTGTATTTCCTTTTTTTTCTATTCTTTTAAACTTGATTCTTGATCTCATTTTGTTCAATTTATGTTTGCAGTCATGGTCATGGAAAGTAGTGGTGGTTTATCTGGTACCAATGTCGAAGGTAATGGCGCAGACAATTAAAAAATTGCTTCTATTAACGACAATGCTATGACTTCCTTGGCCTCGGCCATGAAGGATTCAAATTGCTCAAGGAGTTCGACCATTGAAATTTCTTTAAACAAACTGACTTCACCAGGCCCTTTGAATAGTGGACCCGCTAAAAGATTTGAGAAGCCTATGTCGGTCAAAAAGGATGGTCACTTTTCATGTCTATCTGTCTCAAAGATGGGTGAAAAACTTTCAGGCTCATTTCGCTATGAGAAAGTTGAGTTGGTGAGTTCTCAGGAAGTATTTATACCACGTGATAGAAACTCCATAAAGAAGCAGGTTGCAGACCCTGAAACTGATACTTCTAATAGGATGAAATGTGATGCTCGTAGTTACAGAGAATGGCTGGGATCAAGAGTTAGAAAAGATAAGGTGTCAGGTAACATTTTCCTTTTCAAAAGAAAAAACGATATTTGTAGTTGTTAGCTCATTGAATTCCATTGGTGTGTACTGATGATCTCAGTTCTCTACATATAGACATTACAAATGGAAAGGAATCTTTATTTTTCTAAGATAGCTAATTTGCCTACCATTATCTGTTCTTTAACTTGGTAATCTTCTTCAGGGTCCCATAGGAAACAGAGTGGCAATAATTCTGAGGCTTGCAAGAAAGTCAAGGGGGCAGTCGTCGAGGGTAATCTTTCATGCTCTAAAAGGCGGAGGTAATCTTGTTAATTACTTTCTATTTCTGAAATATGCAACTTGTTTTGTACTTATTGCTTACATCATCAGAGGATGCAAAACCATATTTTTTGTTCCATTGCTAGTGATGGGAAAGGTATTATAATACTGCAAAATTTAGGATAGATGCAAATCATGCAAGTATTCTACAAGGGCCGTATCTACAAGCTCTATCTGTCTGTCTTCATTTTTTGTTGGTAATAAAAGGGGAACTGTGTTTAACAGGCGGCCATCATATATCCTTCACTTTTCTTAAAGCATTTATTGTTCATCTTACTTTAAATTGCTTAAATTAAATCCCTATGCTTCATTTTGTTAGTTTGGCTACTTCCATTTTGGTTGATTTGTTGTCTTAAAAGTTCACCAGTATTGTTAATGTATGTGTATAATTTTTGAGAAACTTGATGATGATAATTTATAGACATTTTTTCATAGATTGGTGGCAATCGGTGATTATTAATATTCTCTTTACATTTGAAGGGTGGATTTTGATTCGGCACAACAATGTTACTCTGGGAATGCAGAACCAGGGAACAGATTGCATGCTGCCTTTCCTACTCAGGTAGATCTGCTTCAAAGTTTTCAACTTCTATGTTTCTTCTTTTCTTTTTTCACATCATAAATACCTTATATTTTACAATTGGTGGTGCCCAGCTTTCCATTTGTGTTGCTTGCATGCTGTACCTGTATGGTGTTTAGCTTCAAAGTAAGAGCTTTTTGTAGATGTTTAAGCAATTCTGAAAGAACCTTTTGCTTTTAGAAGTTCTTAATGGTGAATGATTTGTATGCAATAACACGAGGAATGAGATCCTTAAAGAAATCATATTCATTTTTGTGTATTTTACAAATATTTTTTTTTCTTGCAAATTTCTTTGGACTGTTTTAACTGATGCAAGTGCTAAAATAGAGGTACTAACTTGTATGTAAGACGTCCTTATACAGAGCAATTTTTGTTAACTTCTTTAGTTTTCTAATTATCTTTTGTTCCCCTCAAAATTTTCTCTCCATTGACATTTCTGCTGGCTCAATTTGCTTAAAGTTCATTATTCTTCCTATTTCTTATCCATTATGCCAGGATGGAAAGGAATCACTTACTGAGCTTAATATGGATCAAACTGAAGAACGAACCAGTGATGTGTTAGACAAAGAATCTCAGTTTGAAATTTTAACTGGCGATGGACATAGTGTATGTTTGACCTGTATGCGTGGGGGAAAGCTTTTGTGAGTAATTCATTGCAGTTAGTCTCTTCTTGATATCTTATTGGGTTGCATGTGAATGGTCCCAATCGGGGGAGGTGAATATGCTGGATGGTTTTTATTGAATGGTTTTCTTTATATTCATCTTGCAATCTTTTGCAGTTTGGTCATGGATTATTTGAGCAGAGTGATAAATGCAGATGGCTGCTAAAATTTATTTTTCTTTTCTTTAATGTAACATTTTCTTGTTCCTAAGTGCTGCCTATCCCTCCCCTCTATAACCTTCTTATCTTTTTCTTAATCCTTTCTAAACTATTTTGATTAGTTAATATAATACAATTGTTTTGTAAAATTTAGTCTTGGTTCATGCAAAGTGTTCCGCTTTATTGGGGTTTTATTCTCACATTTTTACAGTTAATTGGTTTTAAAATTATTGTGTTATCTTTCCTTTCATAAGTGTATCTTCTGGCTATATTTCAACTGCATCTTAGTAATGTTGAATCACAATTGTTAAATTTCAGGTCTTGTGTTGGGAAAGGGTGCAAAAGAAAGTACCACCCTTCATGTCTTGTTCCTGCTCTTAGTAATTATCCTCCTGGATTTTGGCACTGTATTTGGTGTGTTGAAAAGAAGAAAGAACTTGGAGTGCACTCTGTTTCTGAAGTAATGTCCATTTGGGATGCTAGAGAGGTCATTTCTGATGCTAAAGGTACCATGCATTACTCTCCACATTTATAATTAGTTGATACAGTACGTGTAAGAATTCAATTTCTGCAATGATTTGTTGGTTCTATGGTGTTAGAAATGCAGAGCGAGAAACAATACTTGGTAAAGTACCGAGGTCTAGCTCATGTTCACAACCGCTGGATTCCTGAAAAAGAGCTGCAGTCTGAGGCTTCCACATTTGTTACAGAATATAATAGAAGAAATCAGGTTCCTAGTAGTTTTTCATCTTTAACTTCAATGGTCACAAATGGAGAATGAGATGCATATTTTTCCTAGTTTTGTGGAAAGAACAATACTAATGTGTTCCCTTTCCTTGTGCAACGTGTGGGGGGTATTTTTTTCAGGCGATCAGGTGGAAATCAGAATGGACTATTCCAAATCGTTTCTTGCAGAAGAGAAAGTTATTGTTTCCTACAAATTCTGGTGACAATGATTTAGATTGCACTTATGAGTGGCTAGTGAAATGGACCGGCCTTGGTTATGAGCACGCTACATGGGAGTTGGAGAGTTCTTCATTTATGATGTCATCTGAATCTATGAAGCTCATAAGAGATTTTGAAATTCGGCACCAAATGTCGGAAGGATTGTCTTCCAAATCTGAAGAAGAGGAGGTGCTACTAAATATATAAAAACTGACATTAGATTAAAATTGTACTTATTTACTTGTTGCATATTTTTTGTCCTTCTCTTAGGTCTTAGATAATGCTACATGTTTTCTTTCATACAATGCCTTTCCATGTCTGAGCCTTTTTTTCTATAACTAGTTCATAGGTCTTACTAAGTAAAAGTATGTGAATTGGAATGCAGAAGCTAGTCGAATTAATTATGGGGAAATCATTGTGAACTTGGAGTAAAGTTTTTTGGGATTTGCTTTGCTTGATAGCTGTTGCAATGCCATCTCTCTCTTGGTTATGAGTGGTTTTAAATGTAGATAATGCTAGAAAATTTTCCCTGCTCCCTCCACTTTTGTTCTGATCTTTGGTTTCTCTATGTGCTTGTTGGTTTGGTCATTTGATTGGAATTTAAAATTTAATTTTATCCTCAATTCGGGATGGTAAAAATTGTATAACAGCTAGATGGGATCGGATGCTATCAATTAGGTTACAGAACTTAATTACTTCTAAGATCCTTCCATATTGATTGTTAAGAGGTAATTCTGTGAGGTCAAGTGAAAGTCCTTTATCATCCAGGCGTTTGGAAAATTGCTCAGCTAAAGCATCTTTAGACTGTCAATCACATGCTGTAAGGAATGACGTAAATGGAAGATCTCCTTCACAAGGTGGGAATTTTAGAACTGAGATGCTTCCTTCAGCAAAGGCAAAACCAGCCCGTTCTGAAGCTGATGATCACCATGGAATAAAAAAGATCACGAAGGGGTACTCCAATGAAAAATCTTCTGAAGTAGCGAGAGGGAGAAGAAATGGTTATCAAAATTGGTGGAAGGAAGGTCATACAAATGGTAGTAATAGGTGTAGAAGTGGATACATCTCGTTATTCATTGAGAACCTACCGGAGAAGATCCATTGGAAGAGACTCGAATCTTTATTTAGCACTTACGGTCATGTTATTGATGCATTCATTCCTAACAAAAAGAATTCGAAAGGAGGCCGCTTTGGGTTCATTCGCTTTGCAACTATTGAAGAAGCAAGGAAAGCGATTTCAAGCATGAATGGCGTTCATATTTACGACAGCAGAATTAGAGTCTCTTTGGCTAAATATAAACCCCGACAGTCTTACTGGCGAAAGTCCTCGAAGGTTGTTCAACGTAAGTCTGGGATGGAAGAGATTCCGAGGATTAAACACTGTGAAGTTGAGGGAGTTGTGGACGAAGAGAAACTTCACGTGTTAAGTAATTGTCTTGTGGGGTGGTGCAAGAACTTTATCAAGATTGGTAATCTTGCTAACCAAATACAAGCCAAAGGACTAGCGGGTTTCACACTTATGAGAGCTGCTGGAAATGTAGTTCTAATGGTTTTTGAAGATTCTAATTCGTTGAGAAACGTAAAGGATGATAAGTTAGAGACTCTTGCAAAATGGTTTTCCAAAGTGGAAACTTGGTCTGAGAGCCTTATGGTAGAGAGCCGGCGTGTTTGGCTAGTTTGCGAAGGTATTCCTTTTCACGCTTGGAATTGGGATACTTTCAAAAACATAGCTACTAAGTGGGGCAAGTTAATAGCAATTGATAACAGTTGTGAGTTTCCTTCGTCTTTTGATCGGGCGAAAATCCAAATACTCACAAATGCTCAAGGGAGAATTAATGAGTTGTTTGAGTTGAAGGTCGGGGATCATTTATTCAAAATCTTGGTGCATGAAGTTGATCCTTCCTTCAAACCTAATTCTTGGGTTCCCGAAGATTGCGATATATCTTTAGAACTTGATCCTCCAATTGGATTGTGATTGTTCGGCAGCTGTATTCAGAGGCGTTTTTAAGTTTGTGGTTGTAATTGTTGGTTTTTTTGGCTATGTTATCTTACATCTTGAGGTGTATTTTACAAATGGGGTTATTGTTTTAGGGGCTTTTTGTTTGACGATGTAAGATTTCTAGGTAATATGGTTTGTATTGGTGTTTATTCCCGTATGTGGGTTTGGTGTTACCTCATGTACTTGGTATTCTATTTAATAAAATATGAGGTACTCTTTTCTCCCTTCCAATGTTCTACAACATACTTCTCAGTATGTGGAAGAATATGAAGGGAGTTTTTAATGAGATCTCCAAATTCTATCAAAAAAAAAAAAAGATGTTGACTATATCTTTCATTGAGGTTCCTGGGTCGTTAGGGTTTCTGAAAAGCAGGATAATAAAGTAATAACATGAGCATGCTTTTCTAGTGTGATTGGCGCACTTTGAGCTTGTGCTTTATGTAACTTCCTAGTAGGCAACTGACTTGAAAAAACCTCTTCTGTCTCTGGTAGTCATCAGGATCTGGTTATTTGAGTGGAAGAAGTTGAATCTTGAATTACTTTGTGAATTGCATGATCAAGTGTTGGTGTTTGAGACGAATACTTTATTTCAATTAAAATCATTTGTCCACACAAATCAAGGCGTAATTAATCAAGGGTGGAGAGAATAGTTTATAAAAACTTCAATTTCGAGTATGGAAGAGGACTATAAATGCCCATTTAGCTTACTTTAACTTCATTCAAGTCTAATAAAAGACCTTCAATGAAGTCAATTTTTGTATGTTTACTCTCGGACAGTTAAAATCTGTTGTTGGTTAAATGAACTCATGCAAAGTAAGACTTTGTGCATGTTTGTTTAATATTCATGCCTGCTTGATTCTTATCATGGTTATTGCTCTATACCAGGCCTAAAATGTCTTATTCTTTGGCAGTATGCCGCTGTTCTTTAGACATATGAGCTTGTGTTTCACTCCATAACATCATTTTGTGTTTGTGTACACTTACCTATTTCGTTACTGGTGATGTTTGTTATTCTGTATCAGGCCTTAAATTGTTTGAATATTCTAGTTTTGCATTTAGGATTTACTGAAAACAATTTGCTGATTCTGCAGAAGGAGAAATGCAGCTTTATTGAGCTATCAAAGTTGGCTTTTGGAGTTCCATCTGGAGACTATGACCATTATCTGAGTTATGTCAATAAGCTTCTTGCGCATCGGCGCAAAAATAAGAATGCTGTTGTCTATGATAATCATGTGGATCAGGTAGATGATTGTTTAACTTCACATCTAAGCTCCTTTCACTCTCAATTGTTGTTGATATTTTCTTTTGCGATTTTATACTTTAAATCATAGGCTGAGTTTCCATTTCCCTCCATCTTGTGTTACTTGGGTGGATATGAGTTCATATATAACTTAAAATTTGCCGATTCCCTATCTCTCTCAGACACACACTGATCCTTACACCTGGTCCCACATGCACCTGCACACAAATGTATTATGATTGGAAGTAATGACCAACTAAACATCATTTTTCAGGAGCGGATTATAAAAGTGATTTTATTTGTCTTGTCATTGCAATTATCCGCACGAAGACCTTTTCTGATAATCTCAAGGTCAACTACTCTTTCTGTTTGGGAATCTGAGTTCTTAGATGTGGCATCATCTGCCAATATAATAGTTTATAAAGGGTGCAAAGATGTTCGGAGTAGTATCAGATCCTTGGAATTCTACAATGAAAATGGTTCTATTATGTTTGAGATACTTCTATCCGCTTCTAATGTTGTTGCCGAGGTACTTTTTTTAAATTCTCCTTTCCATATTATTTCTTGTCACAACTAATGGACTTTCTTGGATAAAGGAGATAATCACAGGAAATGCTTTTATTTGTTTGTGTGGTTACATTCAGGACCTAGAAATGCTAAAGTGCATAAGATGGGGAGCTATTGTAATTGATGAGTGCCAAAGGCCTGGAATGTCTAGATATTTTGAACAGATCAAAAGTCTAAGAGCTGATATGAAGCTTCTTCTTGTCAGTGGTAAAATCAAGGTATATTTAAATGTATAACCAATCTTTTCTTTAGAATCTCAGATGTACTCATTTGCTGCTCACATTTTCAGGATTGCTCAGCTGATTATCAGAGTATGCTGTCTATATTTGATTCTGGACATGGGCTAAGCAGTGATAATGTGATGATTGACTCCAATACTGATGTATGCAAACTAAAAGAAAGATTTTCTCGTTATTTTGCATTTGAGTGCAAGTCAAGCTCCTCTAGGTTTGCTGAGTACTGGGTTCCAGTCCAGCTTTCTTATCTGCAACTTGAGCAGTATTGTGATACAGTGCTTTCAAACTCAAGCCTTCTTTCTTCATCCTTGAAAATTGATCAAGTCGATGCTCTTCGTGAGCTTATTATTTCGTTTAGGAAGGTTGGCTTAACCAGACTATGGCAGTCAGTGTTAGCTGCTGTTTTGCACTTTGTTATTTACTATTATTATTTACTGTGCTTATTGTTGTGGACAATATGATACCATGTTCGTTCTTTTTTATTATTGCAGTGCTGTGATCACCCATATCTTCTTGATCAATCTTTGCAAGTTATTGCAACAAAAGGTCTCGCTGCAGAAGAGAATTTGGATGTTGGAATCAAAGTGAGTGGAAAACTGCAAATTCTTGATAAAATCCTTCTGGAGACTAAAGCCAGGGGCCTACGAGTATTAATCCTTTTTCAGGTAGACTGCCAGATTGCACTTTTCTGGGGTAGAGGTTGGTCATAGAGTTCATTCATTGAAGTTTCATACATTAATCGTTTGCGGTTGTCATTTGGTTTTCTGGTTCTTGTAAGGGGTGTATTGCTGAGTTGTAATTCTGTTGTAATTCTACTTATGTTTAATGAAATCCTAAGGCACTCTTTTTCCTCCTTCCGCTAATTAAGGAGCTTTTCTACGAGCTCCATTAATCAAGAAGGTGGTTTTTAACGAGGCCTTCAAATCTTATCAAAAAAAAATTTCATACATTAAAAGCTTCCTTGATTGTGCCAGGATCATGACATTTTATTTGGAGGGTGTTTATCAGCAATTATTCTAAACTTCTTTCTAGTTCATAGTTTAAATTTATAAACTATTGCTTCATGTGCGTGATTAGGATTTGCCTCATTAATCCTTTTATGGATGATGTAGAATGTACTTCATTTCCTGAAAATTGATGGAGCCATTTAACCCGACAACAAATTGCTAGATGAGTATATTAATGACTTCCATTTCAAGATTTTAAGGATTTGTAGTCAGCATATGTTCCCTCTGTAGGTCAATGTTTAGGGTTGCAATTGGATTGCAGGAAGTTAAGTAACTCGTTATTTTGAGAATTGGTGGCTGCTTGGTTTTTTATGGATGAAATTTGTGTTTAATACTTATTATTGATTTTTTCTTTCTTAATTTCATTTTCCTAGTGTTCTTAATTAACCTTTCCAATGGTTTCATTTAAAATTTATAATGTGCAGGCAGTTGGTTGTTCTGGAAGAGACTCAGTTGGAAATATTCTGGATGACTTCCTCTGTCAAAGATTTGGTAAGTACTCTTACGTTCGCATTGATGGTGGAGGATATGCCATTTCAAAGAAAAAAGCTGTTGTAAATTTGTTTAACACTAAAGAAAGTGGCAGACAGTTTCTTTTGCTTGAAGATCGTGCTTGCCTTTCAAGCATTAAACTTTCAGCAGTCGATGTTGTCGTTATGTTTAATAGTGATTGTAAGCCGCAGAATGACATAAAGGCCCTGCACAGGATCTCGATTAGTTCACAATCTGAGCAGCTTAAAGTGTTCCGCTTGTATTCAGCTTTTACTGTTGAAGAAAAATTTCTGATCCTTGCCAAGAATGGTACAAGTCTAGATGGCAATATACAAACTCTAAGTAGGAACAGCTGCCTTAAATTGCTAAGTTGGTGTGCTTCTCATCTATTAAATAAGCTTGATGACTTTCATGACTGTAGTAAGTCGGTCTCAGTTTCAAATGTTTCTTGTGAACAGTCATTTCTGAATGCTGTATTGTTAGAGTTGCTAACCCAATTACCTTGCAATGGTGAAAGCAATCACGCTGCCAAGTGTTCATTTATTACAGAAGTACCTTTGAATGTTGTCTATGATGGAAATATTTCTTTATTTGGCGAAAAAGAGATAGGTTCAATGAACTACCAATCATCCGTGATTTCCTTGATAAAACTTCTTGAAGGAAAGCGTCCACAATGGAAATTGTTATCCAAGTCATCTTCAAGAAACCGAAAGAAGGTTCAATATTTTGATAACCCCCCTACAAAATCTGAATCTGAAGATGGGGATGTTGTGAAGAAAAGCCAGATAGCAGTCAACAGCATCGATGATCATACATATCCAACATGGAAGCTCAAGGGCAAAAGAAACGTAACTCTTGTGAACAAGAAAAGAAAGCTTGCTGGTATGAACAAATTCCTCTGCAATGTTAGTTGGTTTTCAATGTTTTAAGGGTTAAGATTCCTGTTTTGTGGAAAATGATGAAAGCAATATGGTTGTTGCAAGAAAAAAAAATCAAAACTTTGGTGTCCATTTTCAGTTTTCTGAAGCTAACCTTTCTGTCCACAGCTGCTTCTGACAGCGCAAGTGAGAAAAATTTTCCTTGCCCAACAGATGGTAGGAAAGATGTAAAGCAGGTAAATAATTACTAGTGGTTCCTTCTTTGCTCAATGATGCTAAAAGGACTATTTAAACTGAACTTGATTTTGAGAAATGAAATGTATAACGTGGCAGAGCAATCAATTGTTGCTGAAGCTTGGGATCTCAAAACTTTGTGAAGTTCTGCTACTCCCAGTACAGTACACTCTCTATAACTTTAATATTGTTCATATAGATTTCTTCTTGACAGATTTTATATAGATTTGCATTAACCTTCCGTGTTAGATTTTCAGAAATAAAAGTAATTGTTGAAATTCTTTATTTAACTGGACACTTCCTCTTTGCTTCTGTTAAGTATTATATTTTCCCATCCTATGTTGTGTTAGCATAAAAAATTGGTACCAAGGTGATTAAGGTTAGGAGGATGCTAGCAATGATTAGCTCAAAATGTAAATCTGTTAAATTTTAGTAGTCTCTAATGCACAATATAGAGCACCGTGTAAGCTGCTTCTGGTATTGCAATTATTTGCTTGGATCACCTATTGCCCTAGGTTAAGGAAAGGCTGACATGAAGAATCTTATATACGGGGAAAAAATCTTTGGATGAATCAAATTTTTGTCATTGAATATTTTTCTGAAATGGAATGGCAATTTAAAATAAATTGCATCACTATTTTCTCTGATATACCTACAGAGTAGGACAAGGGAAAGGTAGCGGAGTTTGAAAATAATGTCTTAAAATGGGATTGAAAGCTGGTTAACTTTTCTATCTGGCAGATGGCTTACATCATAATAAGCGAAAAGGATTACTATTTGCCTGTCTTGTATGGGTTCCTGGAATTATTCCATTGTTTCTTTGGTGTGAATTCTAACCTGAAAGATCTTACTTTAACAGAGGTCTTCTGCTGCGGTGTCTCCCTTGGAGAGAAGAAGGTCTTATGTTTTAAATAGCTTATATAGGTTTTCCTATAATAAATGATCTTCCCTGTATATACAAATCCCAAAATATCCTTTTTCATTAATAAAAAGAAATCATGCAAATCAGACTGGCAAATAGATTAAGTAAATAAATGTGGCTCTGAACATTTAGCCATTGTAGTTTCCTGTATCTAAAAGGTAGGAGTGCAGGCTTCTTCCCCCCCCCCCCTAAATTTAATGGAGTTTTGGAAAGTTACATATTGACCTTAACTGCAGGAGAATGTCAGGGGCACTGCAGTGGCATTTCTTGAGTACATAATGCAAGATTATGATGTCACCTGCGAATCAGTTTCTTCATTGCAGGCATATCAAATATCTCTGGTTAGAATAATCCTGAAACTTCGTTTAACATGTTTCCCTTTTTGTATGAATGATTATTCAACATGTTTCCTATATATAAGCATCTTGTCTCTTTCTCTCTAGTTTGCTTCTTACTTTGACTTTGTAAAGGGACGTGTTGCATCCTGAAAATGTTAAGGTCCATAATGTGTACTTTTCTTTAAGAGTTTTCAACAAACCTCCTGCTTCCTTTGATTGATTACATTTAATCTGTAAGGAATTTCATCCTCTGATTATTTAAATTATATTCAGAAAATCCACCCTTGCTGCCAAACAGGAGCCTGTTAATGATGGAACGCTTGACAATTTCCCAAACATTTAGCTTATAAAAACCCGTCTTTTGCTTCTTTTTCCCATTTGGACTCTTGTCTCCGCCCTTTTTGTGTCTTGTTTTCCTTATTCATGTCTCTAATTTTCTGTATCAGTTGCTTCTTTTCATATTTTGCTGAACTTAAGGAGTTTTTGCATTCATTGCCTGTGTGCTTCCTGTTGCAAGCATGTTTCATATTCGTTGAGCATAATATTTGCTGACAAACTACCTATAATTTGTAGTGTTGGACGGCTGCTGATTTGTTGAAATATAAGCTGAATCACAAAGAGTCAATTGCACTTGCAAAACAACAATTAAATTTGGATTGTGGGTATGAAGAGGTAGAATATGTTTACTCCAAGTTGCAGAGTGTTGCAAAGTTGGCACAGTGTTCTGAGAAAATAAAGGGTTACAAGAAGTCAAATTGTTCAAATAGAGTTCTCAAAAAACCCAAAAGTATTGTGCATAAAATTATACCATCTACTCTTATTAGCTGTAATCAAAGTGGAACTGTAAAAAGTGCATCATCTCCCGATCCTGATGAATCTCTCACAGAAAAGAAAATATCCAGTCTACATATGAAAATAGTAGCTGATCAGTTTGGATCTGATTCAGAGCTTGATTGTTCCAGTGGTCAACCTGAAGATCATGTCCTTGTATCAGATTCTCAACAACACCAAAGTCCTATTAGACTGATAGATGAGAAATCTGTATCAGAACCTTCTGAAATTCCCCAAGCTCAATATAAAGTGTTGGGTATAGGCAATGACCTTATGAAGACTACCGATACTGCCAAATCCCATGAAAGAAGTGGTGAAACAGAACCAGTGACCTCAGAAAGAGTAACCGTTTCTAAGGTTGGTCAGCATGATAATGCAGCTACTCATCTTCCTGGGAACCTGAATACTTTGGAGTTTACTGGAACTGGTGAATCCTTGGTAGAGGCTGATGTTAACGCCAATGAATCAAATTCATTGTTGTGCCAAGAGGTAAGTAAAGGTTCAATAACTAGATTTATTTGGCATGCTTCAATTTTCTATGTACTTCTATCCAACTCCCTCTATTAAGAAAAAAAAGAAAAAGTAATAGTCATCAATATAGTTTTTGGAAAAAATCATTGATAAACAATGCTCCTCCCCCTCCCTCCTCCATGCTCAGGGAGAGAAAAACGACTGGTGAATTGAGGTCATGATTAGGCGTTACATATCTCTAGAGATTATACTCATTTAGTTCTGGTCATGTAAAAGTTTACTGTTCCAACATATATATTTTAAGATAAATAGTGCCTCTATTTACTAATTGTTCTGATCTAATCTCAAATGGCAGACAACCCTCTCCTGTCAACTTCCTGTAAGGTCATCTTCCTCTGAAAGCAATATATCCACTATACCTGCACCTGAGGTAGAGCATCAACTCAGCGGCGATCAGCATGCTTTTAGTCAAGAGGCTGTGGTTCCAAGCCACCCATCCTTAGAGGTTCCACTGGATGAACCATCGGGTGCTCCGGCTATGTATTTGGTTGAGATGCCACGGCAGCCATCTGAAAGTAGATCTGTGCTTGAAAATGAAACATGCCTTGAGAACCAAAGGAGATCAACTACCCTGTTACAATCTCCAAATGAGCTTCCCTGTCAATTAAATACAGTGAGACCCGTGACACAGCAGCCTTCTTGCTTGAACCCACTTCGAATTGAGCTGGGGAAAATACAAAAGTTTAAAGAGCAAACCTTGAAGATACATGAAGATAAGGTTTGTTCGATATGAATTCAATTATTTATTTTTTAATTTCACTTTTAGTCAACTAAATTATGTGAGGCATTGCACATCTTATTCCCCATTGAGCAGATACTACAGCTGAAGTATGAGCGTGATAAAGAGATAGAAGAAATACATAAAAAGTATGACATGCTCCTTCAAAATGCTCAGATGGCATTCAAGCAAAAGGAACAGGATTTTGAGAGTTATTGCAGAAAAGTTAACTCAAATCACTTATTGGCAGAAGCACTGATGTTTTATCTGAATGACAAAGCTGTTGGATTACCAGGTAAAGAGCGTGATGGAAACCCTAACATGATGCAACTACGGGATACAAGAATTCTGGCCATAACTATAAATTTCCTACTTTTAATCAACAACTAATGATAGAAGTGTAATTCAAATAGAATTCGGGTCACAAAAATTCTAATATAACCCTAACATGATGCAACTAGTTTAGCATTAAAAGTTTCACATGCCCTTTTAAATTAGAGGGAGATACGTTCATCTTTACAGTTATGATTGCATATTTGCATGAATTTACTTTTATTCTCAAATGTGTTGAGACAATATCTTTGTGGGCATATAAAACAATATGGGGTGCTATTTCCTTCATCTTGTGTTTGACAACATTTTGTTTTTGTAGTAGACAATTTCATGGGTCGATTGATTGACCAACCTATTTCAATGCTCGAGCCACCAATTGAGCCATCCTTGACAAGCCTAGGTGCAGCTCCACTTGTGAAAATGACTAACCATCAGCCATCTGCTGTTGCACTGGATTCCAGTTCCGCTATCCATGGTGTACAAAGCAACTGGGTTGGCATTAGAGCAGCAGCCCCACACCTTGGAGCCTTAAATCTTCCATCCATGTTGACCCCACATCATATGTCATATTCACAGGGAAGGATGCTCAATCAACGATCAGAAAGTAATGGACCGATGATTCCAGTAGCACCCGGGTTTGCTTCAGAACCATGCTATATTCATCCTCCAACAGCTGCAGACTTGCCAGGTTTGGTTAATAGTTATGTTCCACCACTTGAACCAAGTGCGGTTATTAACAATCATGCTCGTTCTGACCTGCAAATCAGTTAGACGTCAACATACATTCAGTTCTACTTCTTCCTGACACAAGCGAACAAACTGCTTCTCCTTTAGTCCCTACTGCTGCTTTTGATGCTGAAACTGTTGGTTTATCATTCATAGGACAGTTGATAAACCTTGGGGTGATGCAACTCCATATTGCAAAATCGCATTGGGTTTCTTTTCAAGGAAGTGTTAACCCTAACTACTCTTTTGAATGCTTAGAATTTACTTAGTCATACAAGCTTGAAGAAGGATTGATTCGGTATTGTATATAACTGTGACAAAGGTAATCAAGTCGGAAAAATTATCTCACAATTCCCTCTCTGAGGAATCAAGTCGGCAAAAGTTATCTTCCCGAATTATACATTACTTAATCATACAATTTACTTCTGTTGGACTGTTCATCCTCAAACTTATATATATTATATAAAAATATTTTAGTAAATATACCATGATGGGTCGGAACAAGTCTAAAAAATTTATAATAAACTCATCTAAATCCTCTATTTTAAAAAAAATGACCGCCGAATCAGGACAGACAGAATTTTCATCCCTAATAATACGTTATGGTTGAGAAAAAAAATGAAAATCCGTTTACACTATATTATTTAGAAGATTTATGATTAAAAAATTAAAAAAAATTATTATTTAAACTGATCACGATTTGTTATTTAATTTTTTATTTTTTTTATTAAAGTAAGTATCTTTAAAAATAATAAACTTTTAGGAAAAAATAAAATTAAAAACTTCGAAATTTTATGAAATAATGTAAATTTAGGGTTTTTTTTTTATCAAATTAAAGTCCCAAAATTAAAACCCAAAAATCAAATCAATTGTCTAAATGAAAATCAGCTCGATAATACATATAACAAACAGCCAGTTTAATCCATCAAGGGTAACCAACTTAATGGTTATGTTAGGAAACCACAGTAATTTGATCACCCAATGCCGGGGGCTAAACTCTCGACATAACGTTTTCGAACAAATTATTTCACGAGATAATACTCTCTTAAGATTAATTGCTCAAATAGGGTGAAATCTACATTGTTGGCTGTAGGTCGCCATGCCTTCCGTAGGTCGCCATGCCTTCCGGGCAACCTACTACGTGGCCAGCCATGCACGTCCCCAAGCATAGGTCGACATGCCCTCCGGGCGACCTTGTAGGTCGCCATGCACTCCGGGAGACTTTGTAGGTCGCCATGCACTCCCTCATGCTCCTCGCGTGATTCCTCTTGCCCTCGGATGCCCTCGCATAGCTCGCTCGGATAGCCTCGGTCGGATGGTATCGGATGCCCAACGTGTTGGAACGTGCATGGCACATGCAATCTCTCTCATAGCTCGCCGGGAAGACATGGCGACCTACGGCCAACACTGTAGATTTCACCCTATTTGAGCAATTAATCTTGGGAGAGCATTATCTCGTGAAATAATTTGTTCGAGAACGTTATGTCGAGAGTTTAGCCCAATGCCGGGTCGCTATCCATCACCCACCATCTCCACCGTCTTAACCTCCGGTAGGCAAAACCAGCAGCCAAGCAATCAACATGTTAAGGCAAAGAAAATTTTTTTGGTGAGTTGCGAGTAGGCCTAGCTGTTAACCACGTAATTCTTTTTATACATATAGTTAACAGATAATACATGGATATCTCAACTTCTTCAACACTTGCTTCCAAGGCTTGTGTACCTCTTGTATTTGCTTTATTTACATAATCAAATAAAAACACTGAGCTACCAACAATTTCCAACACTATATGTATCAATGTTTTTTTCTTCCAAGTCCAACACAAAATAGTAATCATAAGCATTTGAAAAATGTTTTTTTTTTTGAATTTGTAGTAATTTTATTTTGTAATGAATGGTTAAGGGCTTTATATAACTCTTTATATTGCTTTCTTTGTTCTTCTGGGTTCAGATTCGAGTCAAGAATGTGAGCCGGCTTTGCCATGCGAAACTGATTGTCACGGTGAACGAGGTTTCTGGACCGACCATTTATGCTCGAGAGGCGATCGAGTTCTCGTCAATGTTAAAAACTATGCAGAATATACCATTTCCATTCATTGGTATGTCATTTACATACATATCTATCTTTATGAACAATATGTGTATATATGTGGAAATGGTTGAATCAATTTATTATTTTTGTGCATGTGCAGGCATGGCTTAAAGCAGTTTCGCAATGGTTGGGCTGATGGACCTGCATACATAACACAATGCCCTATCAAGACAGGACATAGCTACACCTATGACTTTACTGTCATGGGACTACGATGAACACTGTGGTGGCATGCGCATATTTTGTGGCTACGAGCTACGGTTTACGGCGCCATTGTCATTATGCCGAAAGAGGGAACAATGTTTCCATTCCCTCAACCTCATAGAGAAACTAAGATAATCCTAGGTTTGTAATTGGTTAAAGTCACTAATATTTCGAAATTCTTTGATTTGGAGAAATGGGGTATCTGACAAGTCTTATATGCAGGGGAATGGTGGAATTCAGATGTTGAAACACTCGTTAACAGAACCAATAAGTTGGGGTTGCCACCGCCAATGTCTGATGCTCATACGATTAACGGGAAACCAGGGCCGCTCTTCCCATGTTCTTTGAAATGTAAGCTGTAGCTTCATGCTTTTTACCAGAAAAAGAAAACAGTTTTTAAGAAATGTTCATCTTCAAGCAATATTCTAATGTTAAGCAATGTGACTTGTTTTGATTCTAGATATGCTTTCAATGGAGGTTGAGGCAGGAAAAACTTATCTGTTGCAGATTATCAATGCTGCACTCAATGATGAACTGTTTTTCTCAATCGCCGGTCATAACATGACTGTTGTAGAGATTGATGCAGTCTACACCAAGCCCTTCACAACCAGAGTTATCTTAATCGCACCGGGTCAAACGACCAATGTTCTAATCAAAGCCGATCAGCCTCCAAGTTGATACTTCATGGCAGCCAGGCCTTTCATGGATGCAACGTTTCCTGTTGATAACAAAACTGTTACAGGAATCCTACATTACAAAGGCATCCCAAACACAGCTCTCCCATCCATGCCCAAATTACCTGCACCAAACAACACCAATGTCGCCTTGAGCTATAACAAAAGACTTAAAAGCCTAAACACCCCTCAATTTCCAGCAAATGTCCCACTTAAAGTCGACCGCCATCTATTTTACACAATTGGTCTGGGGGCAAACCCATGTTCAACTTGTCAAAATGGTACACAACTCACAGCTTCATTGAACAAACATTACCTTTGTGATGCCAAAGGTTGGTCTTCTGCAGTCTCATTATTTCAACATCAAAGGAGTATTCAAAACCGACTTCCCCGACCAACCTCTGGTTCCTTTTAACTACACTGGTGCACCACTTACAGCGAATCTCGGCACTTCATTAGGAACAAGGCTCAGTAAGGTGGCTTTCAATTCCACCATTGAGCTGGTATTACAGGACACAAACCTCCTCACAGTAGAGTCACATCCATTCCATCTTCATGGGTTCAATTTTTTCGTTGTCGGAAATGGCGTGGGGAACTTTGATCCTTCCAAAGACCCTGCGAAGTTCAACCTCGTTGATCCTCCTGAGATAAATACAGTTGGAGTGCCAACTGGAGAATGGACAGCTATTAGATTCCGAGCTGATAATCCAGGTAAATTTCCACAGAAATGACCCTATCGAAAATTGATACGAGCTTGTTGAACTATGGTTTTTTGGATTATCTCTGCAGGTGTTTGGTTTATGCATTGTCACCTAGAGCTGCATACAATGTGGGGTCTAAAGATGGCCTTTGTTGTTGAGAATGGGAAATCACCCGAAGAGTCTATCATACCACCACCAAAGGACCTTCCACCTTGCTAGAACATTTCGAAAAATTATTACTAATTCTTTCATGATAAAGGAACAAAGAATTTTTCCTGCAGTTTGTATTTATTTCATCTTTGTTCTCTTGTAAACTGCTCCCCTTCTGCAGTTCCAGGCTATTATTTCAGGATCGGAACATCCAGATATCAAAATGCTTTATTTGAGATTGTTTTCCCATTTATGACATACCAAGTTTTCATCAATGAAGCTCTTCATATACTTGCTTGATAACATTCCTTTCATTTTTTCCCGATTTGATTATTCTGACTGTCGATATCATCTAGAAGTACCGTAGAAATAATATTCATGAAAAATATGTTTTCTTTTTTCTTATCGCAAATTGAGAAGTTACAACAGGGTAGTTTTTATACAAGTTTAGTTGAGTGTCCTAGATAGATAGAATTCCTACAAAATAATTTTCTAGAGTTAGTAGTAAAATAAAATATTAATAACTAATCTTAATCGTAATATAACTCATAAAATATTAATAATTAATCCTAATCGTAATATAATTCACACTCCTCTCAAGGCGGGAAATAAATATTAGAGAGACTTGATTGGATGTAATCTCATCGAAGTTAATCATTGGAAGTGCCTTAGTCAAGACATCGACTAGTTGATCTTTTGAAGAGACATAATTTAGTTTTACTGTCCCACCATTCACTTTTTCAACAATGAAGTGTCTTAGCAATACTTATAGCTAACTTACTATCACTTTGAAGCTCAAAGTAGGTTATATTGCACACATCTAGTTCAGTTAGGAGTCTTTGTAACCAAACACCTTCATAGATTTCGAGTGCTATCGTATGATATTCTGCTTCAACACTACTTCTGGAAATCACGACTTGTTTCTTACTTCTCCACGTCACCAAGTTTCCCCAAATAAACAAACAATAACCTGCAGTTGATCTTCTATCTATTAATTCTCCAGCCCAACTTGAATTAGAGAAAATCTTGATTGTTCTATCTTCATGTTTTTTTGAAAATTACTCCATGTCCTGGTGTAATCTTTAAATACCTCAAAATTTGATATGTCATATCCACATGTTTTTCTCTAGGATCATTCATGAATTGACTCACAATGCTAACAGAGAAGGTTATGTCTGGCCTAGTAAGTGACAGATAGATGAGTTTACCAACTAACCTTTGAAATTGGTCCTTATTGGATTCCCATTTTCCCTAAGCTTTAGATTTGTTTCCATGGGAGTTTATGAAGAATTGCAATTAGTCATTCCGATTTCAGAGAATAAGTCTTGAATGTACTTCCGTTGGTTTATGACAATCCCTTTTCTCGATCTTGCCACTTCCATGCCTAAAAAATATCTCAAGGTCCCTAAGTCTTTGGTTTCGAATTCACTTGATAGCAACACCTTCAATTTCTAAATTTCTCCTAAGTCATCACCTGTGATGATAATGATGTCATCGATGTAGACAATAAATATTGTATTTTTC